CACAAAAATAGATATACACATCCATATATAGGTATGTATGCAGTTGTTTTGATTTTTTTTATATGTAACTGTTTTGCATGTGCTTTTATTATATTGTAAGTTGCTTTGGGGTGCGTCTTCAAAAGTGATTAATAAGCAAACAAAAATGGACTAATATATGTGTTGACAGGATGCCCATCCCTAATCTATGATGCAGCTTGGGCATGGGCAGGCTTCTGGCTTGCCAGGTCTACTTTTATTTTTCCTTAGGTGCAACAGAGGAGGACATAGGGAGAACAGAGAGTTCCAATAGAAACAGGAGTGAAAATTGCCAGCTTGCTTACTCATCCCTAACAAAAATCTATCCTTGTCCATAACAAAAATCTATCCTGTGAATGCAATCAGTGTTTGCTGTCTTTGTTGCTTGCAAATGATATGTAATTGATTATGTTCTACCCCCTACAAAGCAAGTTTTCCAAGATTCATTATTCCAATAGGGCAAGCAAGCTAACATAACACAGCGGCAAATGGACTCCCAGATCGAAACACACAGCATGAAGTTCCTTGATCGTTGGGTTGCTACTTTAGCTGCTCAGAATAAGGACATCAGCACAGCCATATGACTAAATCATATGAATCTGTTGCTAAATACACCATCCAAGCTTAGCGTGGGCAGAAGGCAGAGTCTGCTGGTAGATGGCTGGATGATAGATTGGCAATTTTTTCCTCATTCTGTCAAAATACTAGAATTTGGGGCCATTCAATGAAGCTCATTGTGGAAGATTCGGAACAGTACTGTAAAATGGCTTTTCCCGCATGCTGCATAGTTAAAACTCTTTGTTCCTAAAGAGGATCAGGACAAATTCAGAGGGCAAGGCTTTCAATGGCTACTAGTCATGATGGCTATGTTGAACCTCCATGATATGCCTCTACCTACCAGTGGCTGGGAGTTGCAGTCTGGTCCTGTTTGCAGGCTTCCCTTGGGCATCTGGTTGGCCACTGTGAGAGCTGAACTAGATAGGCCTCTTTTGGGGGAACACACTGCCCTGCATGCCAGCTCAGTGTGCTAATGATTGATGGGCAACTTAAAGGCCCCTCCTGCTCTCCCTTCTTAGGCTTCCTTAGCTTTAAACCAGACTTGGAGTGGACAATCCTTTAAACAGAGAATGCCTTTTTGTAGAACTGTCCTCTGACACACGGTCACCCTACCCATTTGCTCCTTCACCCTCCTTTCTTGACTGCAGTGGAGTGCTGGATACCTGGATTGGATATATCTTTCTTTAAGCTGTTGCCTGTGTTAAAAAGAAAGGCGCAAGCACACACCATGGCTGTTCTTGAATGTTCTCCCTAGGAAGCAGCTTGGAAATAACAGCTTGTCGGTTGTGCCTGTTATTTTCCCAGTAGGCTGCACCAAGTGTTTTGCAGCCGACTGATTGAAAATTAAGGTTATCAAAGGAAAGATACGTCCTTCCTCAAAGGAAGTGCCTTGTGTTTATTCAGACTATGTACTAGGCCACAGCATACTGCTGGGTGGGGGTACATAGGAAACTCTCTTATACAGAGCCAGAGCATTGGTCAAGCTAGCTCAGTATTGTCTACACTGACCTGCAGCTGATCTTCCAGAGTTTTAGGCAGGAGTATCTCCAAGCACCACCTGGAGATGCCAGGGACTCGAATCTGTCAAACAGTATCATCATAATATAGCCTTCTGCTATAATCCACTATTAAAACACAGTAAGATCAACAGACCTATGTATACATGTTAACCGTGTTGTATTCTGGTTTATGTTCCTTAGGAAAGCGCATTTATCTGCTCATGTGCTTCTGCGCACAAACCTGTTGCTTGGCAAAGCACCATCTCCCTCTACTGGAGGGAGTGCACCATGCACTTTTTAAAAATCCATGATTTATTAGGGTTTTCACATGATCATCTTCCAACCTCACACTTTTTCTTTTTTTAAGCTGCAGTATTTTCATCTTTGTTATTCATTTGTTTAGCATACTATTACAATGTTCAGTTACGTACATTCAGATAAGGATTAAGATAAGTAAGTATTAATGTTCTGCTGTAGTCCTAGATTAGCATCCATTAAGTTGGGGAAGTTTCCATCCCTGCCTTGTGCCTCCTACCGCTTCTAATTTGTGGCTGTTACTTAGTGAAGAGTTCCAAAAATGCAATCCAAATGTCTTGGAACCTTGACTTTTAATGTATGGAGTAGAATTGTCTCATGGGTGACTAGTTGCAGGGGGTCTTGTGCCCAGTTTCTGGTACTTGGTACCATGTGCTGGCAGATGCTAGTGGGACACTCTGACCTTGACTTCCTGTGCTTGCCATCACAAATATTTCAAAGGGCAATGGAAGCAAAGGGTCAAAGCACTGGAATGTGTTAAGCAAACCTCAGTGTGTCTTTCAAGGTTTTAGGCTGCAGACCATAATGTTCACCTACTTGATCACATATCCTTTTCAGTGCACTATTTTTATTTACGCTGATGGGAGTTGGGAGACTAAAAACATCTGGAAGGCCACCAGTTCCCCTATCCCTGCACTGAACCGATGTGCTTACACAAGGTCCTCTATCATAGATGGGCAAATTTTGACAAATTATCAGATTAATACAATATCTAAAACCAGTGCTCCCACATGTTCAACTGGCAGGTTCCCAACTGCATGGATAGAGCCCAGTGTGTGTATAGCTACATGCAGGGGTCCCCGTTCGGAAATTCTAATGAATGCACATCCAGGACACCCCTCCTGTGTCCACTTCACAGGACATCAGAAAAGGGCTCACACATCTGAACAAGAAATAGGCCAGAGGTAGCGAACCTGTGGCCCTCCACGTTTCATCCTGCTGGGTGGAGATGAAACATTCCCTAAATCCTCTCTCTCGAGTGCAGCCTCCTGTGGGCCTCAGGGCAGCCTGAAATTGATGGGGCAACCTGCCTGCCTTTCTGCCAACATTCCTATCCCTTACGACATTTGCAGCGAGTGAATGACCCGCTCAAAGTCACTGAGAGGAGCAATCATCTCAGCCTCTCGCAAGAGGTATGTTTAGACATCACTTCAAACAGTCTGTGAGAACTGGAGCCAGGTTTGAGGGAGACCTGGAAAAATTGTTGGGACATCCCATTTATTAATGTATGGAGGGGGGAAGAGTTGGGATTTACCAAAAATTGCTCAGGAGTGCCTATCCCATTCCTGTCCCACTCACTAATGCTTCTTGGGCATTTTTGAATTTGTCTGCAATGGGTTTAATTACTTCAAAGCCTCTGTGGGTGTTTTTGTTCTTACTGTTCTTTGAGCATAAACTTAATGAAGACATCAACCTAGTGTGTGGCAGCAGTGAAAAAGGCAACATTAGGGATCATTACTGAAAGGGACTGAAAATAAAATCCCATACCCTGTATCACAGAGCTTTCCAAACTGTGTGTGACAACTCGTTAAGTGTGTCAGCTGCAGTGTGTATGTGTGTCACATGAATGCTCCCCACGCTCCTCCCGGGGCTGAAAAGGGGTTTTTTTTGGGGGGGGGTGTTAGAATTTATATACCACCCTATACCCAGGGGTCTCAGGATGGTTCACAGTTTAACCTCCTGTTTGCTAGTAAAACTGAATTACTGTATGGTAAAATGATACATGTCTAAAAGTGTCACCAACATGAAGTTTGGAAAGCTCTGCTGTATCATAATGCAATTATACTAATCTGCCTACAGTGCAGTCACACTGGGCAGAGCCCCGGTCCCCATACCTGAAAAGGGCTGCTGTAGACCTGGAAAAGGTTCAGAAAACAACAGTGAAAATCATTCCAGAGGTTGGAGTAACTCCCCTTTTGAGGAAATGTTACAACAGTGGAGGCTTTTTAGTTTAGAAAAATGGCAAGTAAGGAAGGACATGATAGAGGGGTAGAGAATTAGGCATGGCATGGAGAATGTGATTCTTTCTCATAATACTAATGAAGATGCAGGACAGACCAAAGGAAGTGCTTCTTCACACAGCAAATAGTTAAAACTATGGAATTGGCTACAAGAAGTAGTGATGGCCACCAAGTGGATGCCTTGCCTTTTTCTTAATGTCACTGAGGAAGAACAAAAATCCATGCATCAACCCCACTTTCCTATCTGCAGAGCCGATATGTCAAGGAAAGTAATACTGATGTGCCAAGGAAAGATGAGCAAGTGTGGTATAGTAGTTACGAGTGTCAGATTGGGAACTGAGATACCTGGGTTCAAATCCCCACTTGGCCAGGAAGCTCACTGGGGGACCTTGGGCCAGTCACTGCCTCTCAGCCTAACCTACTTCCGAAGGTTGTTGTGCGGATTAAATGTGGAGGGGAAGAACCATGCATACCATCTTGAGAAAAAGGTGAGATATAAATACAGGAAGTAAATAAAATCATAAATAAGAATACACTGAGGGAAATGAAAAACTGTTTCATCTGTTCCCAGACTTCAGAAAGCAGTTTTTCTTGCTGTGTTCTTTACCCTGGACTGGTGCTAAGCCAAGTAAGTCTGCTGCCCAAGAAATTCAAGAGACCTATCCAAAAATCCCCCGCACTGTCAGAGGTGGGTAGGCACAATCTGAAGGATCCCCGGGCACATGCCTCAGATCACATGCTGCTTTATCAGTGCCATTAACACAGCTGATACCCCAAGCAGCTGGAGTACTATTCATTACGGATTGACTGCCTGGCCCTTATTTTCATTGCATCTTTGTCAAGGAGAATGCTTTCAACAACAGTTATTAAAAACGTAACTACTACGGATTATTAGACTTATCTTTGACTGCCATTTAACTCCACCACAGGCTGCACACTGACATTTTCAGCTCCCCAGATAACCTAACCCAGCTCATTTGACAGTTTCAAAACATTGCATAGAATTTGTAGGGCAGACACTCCAATCGGATAATGCATCACACTGCAGATTGATCCTGCACATTCCAAAATGCCACCTGAAAGCTCATCATTTAAATATTAATCCCAGAGAGGCTACTGTAGAACACACACAAAAAGAACAGCAAACACACTTGGTAAAGTCAGGATTTTTTATTAACTTCTGTTATCTGTTCCAAGGCAAAGCAGGGAGCCTTATCTGCAGAGGATGGCCACACCTCCACAGTTTCACTTAAAAAGGTGAAATCTGGTTCTGCTCTAGTCACTTGGAACCTTCACTAATTCTGAAGGCAGCAATGCAGCCTTAATATTACAAAACGCGATTGAAAGCAGACTGCTGTCTTGGGGAGGGAATAAAACCCGTGGAGCTTAGAAGCACAGTTTGTGCTGTGAAATTAAGGCTGTTACAGTTCTACTTTATCAATGCTTAGGTTTATTTTAGGAACAAAGGTTATTCTACTCCAGATGTAATTATGAACTTCAAACTCTTGACATCCTATAATTACATTTATTCGACTAAAAAACAATACATGTACTAGAAGTGAAGATTGACACGCCACCCCAAATGAAAATGTTTTGACTTGCAGTCACTTGTGGGCATAGATCAGCACAATTTGAATCAAAGGCAGCATATTTTCCTTGAAAATTTCCTGGATAAGCTGCTCAGAGTTGAACCTTCTGTACACCACTAATTTAGGACAATCTACAGTGAAAATGGTCTGCATTGGTTTACTGTTAACATTTGGATCACTCCTCAATAGATTTTATGTATTTTTCATATGCATCTTCACTCATGAGTTCATCAAATTCTGAAGGGTTATCCACAGTCATCTTGATAAGCCAACCTATGAGCATAAAAACAACTCAGTTAGAAGCAGCAGCAGCAGCAGCACACACAACTCCCTGGAGCTCTAGTAAAATGCTGGCTCTTGACCATAGCAATTTCCATTCATGTCAACAAGCATAAAAGTCTCATAGTAAATAGGTAACTTTTCACTAGTTGAAGATGAGAATACATATATAAGCCATTCCATTCGTGGCTACAGGAGAAAAGGAGATGGATGGAACTGCAGGGCCTCTCTGCTGAAATATCAGCAACTCTTGGCTCTCCCTTTCCTTGCAATCTTCCCAGAATGGTCATTAAAAGAACTCTGGACCTAAGAAATAGTGCTGAGTTTGCTTTGCTCCTCCTCTCTCCCTAACCCTTTTCCATCAGCCCGAGAGTAGGGATTACCTTATCACTGATATTTATAAAATGCTTTGTGAGCATTTTTCAGCTGATGAATGGGATAAAAATGCTTTCAAATAAACCTCACAAGACAATACAAAATGAGTTCCACTGTTATCCTTCCAACTCAATGATGGCGGAAACACTTTTGCAAAGTTAAGATGCCTCCCTTACCATCTTGGTAGCAAGATTTGTTGACAAGTCCTGGATTATCAGCAAGGGCAGTGTTGATTTCCGTTACTTCTCCTGTGAGGGGGGAATAGAGTTCACTAGCAGCCTTCACACTTTCCAAAGCACCAAACTCATCTGAAATACAGAATTGAAGAGAGCAAAGCATTTAATTTAGAAACCGAATTAACTGGGCTTCGAGGAAGTTGAGAGCTACTTTGCGCTGCCACAAGAATTTTCTAAAAGTAGGGAGCCCTAGTGTTGAAAGATTAGGAATTCAGGTAAATCCAGGCTCAATTTCAGCCTAGGTGGTGTACACCTTTACTCTGCATCCAGTGCACTCCCTATGTGAAGCCGTGTACACATAGCGTTAGCTACGATCCTATAGTTTCTTGAGAAATATTGCATTTTGATGTGTTTTCCCCCCAAGCCAGCTTTGATCCGATTAGAAAAACATAAGCAGTAAGAAAACATCCACATCCCCTCTCCATCCATTAGTGCAGACAGACAGCAGGCCACCCGGCAACGCATCCAACTGTACCGATGTGTGCAATGATGTCCAAATGTGGTTTGAAATGCAGCAGGAAAGAAACAATGCTACTTTGTTTTAAAGCTGGTATAATGTGTACACAACATTAGGAGAGAAAAAACTATGTTTCCTCTGCCTCTTTACAAGAGTGGAGGCTATGAAAAGAGAAGGCTTAGATCTCAGTGGGTGCACAATTAGATCTGCTTGCGTAAGCAAGTCCAAAGATGTAATTTCCAACAACAGGACCTCACCCACCCCACCCCAATTCCACATGACCAACTTTCCAAAGTAATGATCTTTTAAAAGTTGCTTGTGCCATAACATTGGAGGTGGGGAAACAGAAGGAGCCTTCTATTCAAAGTCCTTAAACACACACACACACACACACACACACACACACACAACTTGGTATGCTCAAGCTGTTGAAAAATACCTAAATTAGCCTTTGGGGTTCTAATCCAAGAAAGAGGCTACCGTTTAAATGAAAATGCATTGCTTTCTGCCAATGTTGCAATGTGTTAAAAGTGCCAAAAAGTAAAGAAAATCGCTTACCCTGTTTGTTCAGCTTTGTTCCAATTTCTGGAAGACTACAATAAACAACGTCTCCTAGTGCTTCCTGAAACAAAAACATTCAGACATCAGCAAAAATTGTTAACTGAGAAAGCTATCAAAAAGTTGGAATCCCACCCCCCACCTGGCAAGAATTTAAGTAAGCAACAAATGCACCATATTATAATCCACACACTCCAGAAGCTGGTGGCACTATTCCTATTGCAGTTCCCAAAAACCGTATCAAACATGGGCTGCAAACCTTCCCACACCTGTCTCTGAATACGCTTTAGTCTGGCAAATGAACTGTATCACAAACAAGTCATAAACATGACTGATTTCTCAAGGATAATATGACTGGCTTCTCATACACAGCAAAGTCAAACTGGAGGGTGATGAATGAAGACAGAAGCAGCTGTGGAGTCTCTCAGCCACATCAGCTAAGAGCACCTGAGACACACAAAGACCCCTGTTACCACCATCCAGCCACTTACAGCTGTTGTTAGGGAAGGACCAGGCCCCCTTTCCCAGACTACCTTTGTGTGTGCATTGTATTGCAGCAATGGCTCCAACCTCCCTCTTGTAATGCAACAACTGACTGCAAGGGTCCCAGGAGAGCAACACTGGCTGCTGATTTTGCCACCGGGCCTGCTTCAAGAATCTTGTGTTAATTCATAAAGCCCTTACACAACTTGGGCCCATGGCACCTTAGGGACCGCCTGATCCCTTGTATTCCGCCTTCATCCCTGAGACCCTCTGATCATAGAATTGTAGAGTGGGAAGGGACCCTGAGGGTCAGGTCTGCCCCGCCTGCTTTGTGGAACTGCCCACCTGTAGAGGTTCAGCAAGAACCGTCCCTTCTTTCAGATATCTACCGAAAACTGCAGTGTTCAGACAGGCCTTTACTGTAAGAATTTTTGTTTAAGCCAACCAGCATCTAAACATTTAAATGTTTTATAGAGAGCTAGAGACTGATTTTATTTAACCTGTTGCAAGCTTCCTTGTTATGCTGTGAATTATAAATGTTCAAGAAAACAAATAAATAATAGGTTGTGCACCAGGCATATCTAGGTTTAGATAAGCAAGAGCAATGAAACACCACAACTTTACTGGTTACAGTATCTCTGGCTTTGGCATAGCACAGGGCAACCCTTGCCAACTGGTTGCCCTCCAGCTGTTATGGACTACAACTCCCAAGAGCCCCAACCATGGGTATAGTCCAAAACAGCTGAAGGGCACAAAATTGGCAAAGGTAGGCATAGGGCAAGGATCTGCCCATGTGGCAGTCTGTCTGCTGGTTAAGGATGGGTGAATCTGTCAATTTTCTCTCAGTTTTTCTGAAATTTAGCACTCCACATTTTTATATCAGTTTGCAATTTTAAAAAAAGTCCTCATGAAAATTAATCAGCATTTTAGCACAAATTCCTCCTAATTTCTGTATACTATTTTGTCTAATATACATGTTTTTGCAAAGCAATATTCCCTAATATGATGCATTTTCTATGCTATTTTCACCAATACAACACGTCTAATTATGCACGCTTTGCCCAAGTATATGCATTTCTGTACACATTTTTTGACACAATAAAATCTGGCCATGTGCTTTTGGGCGGTGAGGAAAGCCTTTTCAAACAGCTGCTCTTTATTTTTACAGGTGAGGAACGGAGGAAATTTTCAAGCATGCCATGAGAAAGCTCTGCTCTGGGTCTTGCACAAGTTGCGACCAGCCAAGCTGGATGCAGACCAAATGACACTTGCAGTCCCAATCTCATTTAAGAAATTACATGGTTCCTATGCAGAGAGCAAAGGTTCAGGTGCTATCCATCACCACCACCACTGCAAACGAGGCAATAAATATATAAGCAGGGCAATAAACATTTCTATTTCTTAGGCTTCAACACACACACACACAGCCATTTTGTTGTTTTGTTTGCAAAATCATAGACCCTACTGAAATATTTAGGTGCATAGGGAACTAACCAAGCACCTGGGGATTTTCCAACCCGTTACAAGGATGCATTCAGCCCTATAAACACTTGCATTAAAAAGTATTATCAACAATTAAACAAACAAAAAGCAAAAAATGCTTTGAGCCAAGGTTCCCATTGAGTCCTAAGTGTAAGATACAGAGCCAAACTGCTGAAGGGAGGAGAGGATGGTTTAAAGTGGCCAATAATGTTGGAGTTCCAAGTCTACAATTTGGCTCTACATGCAGAATAGGCAATAAAGGAGCCAAAGACCAAGGCCAACAGAAAAGGCTGATAGATGTCAATTTTGTAGCACAAAGCTGAGAGAGAGAGAGAGAGAGAGAGAGAGAGAGAGAGAGAACCAGTACCTGTGCAAAGTTGCTGATTCCTACGGTTCCAATACTGTTTTCAACTGTTATCCATTCATGCTTGTCTGTGAATCGACGGGCTGAATGAAGCAAACAGAACATTTCAACACACCTTGCTTTCTCTAAACACATTTTTTGCCTCAATGTTTTACCTTAAAAAGTGTCAGCATAAAAAAGCACTTGATTTCCAAGTTCCAAGTTTGCAAGCAGGAATTAGAAAAAGGTAGCCTGCTTTCTTATTTCAAGTACAAAAAAAAAAAAATACCACTCCCAAATCCAAGCTGTGCATCAATTTCATTCATTCATTCATTCATCATTACATTTATATCCAACATTTCCTCCACGAAGGTAAAGGTGGTTTTATACATAGTTCTTTACCCTCCATTTTATACTCACATCAACCCTGTGAGGTAAACTGGGCTGAGAGACTGTGACTAGCCCAAGGTAACCCAGTGAGCTTCATGGTCAAGTGGGGACTAGAACCCAGGTCTCCCAGGTCTTAGTCTGGTATAGAGGCACACCTCCCTTTCAACTGTTCCAATTTCAGAGGAGGAAATTGCACAGCAGTGTTCAGAGTGGTTGAGTCTTTTTACATGGGGCAGAAGTAAAAGATCCAACTTCCTGAGCCATCCCAATCTGCAGTCTGAATTGGTAGTCTTAGAAACAATTTGCCACATACTATTTCAGTACATTTGATTTACCACATATTATTTCTGCAGTGGTGATTTTTATTACTGTTCAGGACTAACACACCAGAAGTCCTAAGGAGTGAAGCTCCTTTGGATAATGTCCATCTATGAATTATGTTTGCATTTCCCTGCAGTTAATTAAAACCAGCAAGAAAAGCTGGGATTCCAGTCAACACACCACAGTCAAATATCATAAAAGAGCCCACAGTGCTATAAATTTGTGGGATGCCTGGACTCACCTTCTAATTCTGAACGCCCTTTCTAAATCTGGGGTGCCAAACATTGAATTTAGCCTGTTAAAAAAGCCACGTTAAAAAAAAGCCAGGCTGCTTTCCTGATGAAGTAATTGCCTAGAGAGATGGACCATTAGAAGACCACAAAGAAATGGTTGATCAAAGAGGCTATTCACAGAGACTTTCTGGGCAGGAAAACAAATGGGAAAATCCCCTCTTGAGGTGAGAGTGAGTTAGCAGAGACAAAAGCCCAGTTTCAGAAGGGAGGGGCACAACTGTGGTGGGCTTGCGATTTGGCAAGCAGGAAAGTAGAGGCCAAGTCGAATGTTTGCTGGCAGTTTTTGGGTCCAACATGGCAGCCGTGAGAGGAACAGGAGTGCTGCTCCTGCCCCTATGAGAGAAGCAAGAGACCCCCTTGGAGTGTAATGCTGGGAACTTCCTCTATCTAGACTCAGGTTGTAAATACGTGTAAATAAACCATATACGATCAAGATGCCACAGTCTCTTCTGCACCTCATTGTCCCAAAGGAAACACAGACCCTGGGCAAGCACACCTAGTACCCTTGAAATCTCACACCACTCGCACAGAGTCTTGCGTGAATATAAAGCTGTGCCTCCCCTCCGGGGACCCTCTCCCTAAATCTTTCTCCTCCTTTTTCTCCACCATGAGCAAGTGGTCCCACCAATATGCATACACCATTTGAAAGACGTTCTGCAGCACAATCTACCATTCAAGTGAACGAAGCCTTGCAGCACTTTAAATAATATAGGGATGGCAGGGCCTTTTTCAGCCCAAGGGCTGCACTGCCTTGTGGGCAACCTTCCAATTGGGTACAAAAGCAAAAGTGGTGTGGGCAATGGATGCAACTCTTACCTTTGTACAGTAGGCTACATTCCAGACACAGAGGTTTCCACATAAACACCCCTGCTCCGTCCAGGCAAGCAATAGGAATTATCAGAGTTCAAGGACACATTACAAGCAGGTAATAGTACAGAGCAAGGCTGGTGCGGGACGCGGGATGCGGCCTAGGGAAGGGGTGTAGCCTGGAAAGAGTCCTGAAGGCCATACAGAGAGGCATAGAGGGTCGCATTCAGCCACCTGGGCCTGAGGTTACATTAACAGTACTGTGGTGTAAAATCTCATGACCCTACTTCCATATGCCTGCTGCAAAACAAAAACAAAAAAACCCTCCATCCCCATCTTGCAGAATTTAATCTGAGAAAAAATGAGGGTGCATAGGGAATGACAAGCAATGCAATAAATTACTATGCCGCACAGCAGCAAACACAAGACCCAGTCCAAAGAGTCAGATCCAATCAGAGTGGGTGTGTCACTGGATATGAATGGCAAACTAAGCAAATGCTGCAATAAAATTAACCTTGTACGGACCACAGTGCTTCCATGGATGTTTATTAACATTTATGGGGTAATGAAGGAATGCAACCCTGACCTCTATTCTTTGATTAGGTCTTGGGCATGCAGGAAGCATGATTTGAATCCTGCAAAAATGCAGGGTAAAGACTGCATAAAGTCAGCCTATGAGCCAATAACAGCACAAACTCTGTACTGCACACAAGACAGATTTTAAGTTTGAACACCCATAGCTGGGTCAACCAAAGCAATCCCTTCCCTCCTGCCTCGATAGGTTAAATATCCCAATATTTCATAAGTTTTGCACAATTAAATCCTAGGTATGTGACTCAGAAATGAGTCCCACTGTGTTCAACAGTGCTTACTCCCAATAAATGTGCTCAGGATTGCAGTACTGAAAAGCTCCATCCTAACTGTGTCTACTCAAAAGTATGTCCTATTGAACGCAATGGGGCTCACACCCAGGTGTGTTTAGGACTGCAGTTTTTGAGGCTCTGTACACATTTAACTGAGGGACGCGGGTGGCGCTGTGGGTTAAACCACAGAGCCTAGGACTTGCCAATCAGAAGGTCAGCGGTTCGAATCCCCGCGACGGGGTGAGCTCCCGTTGCTCAGTCCCTGCTCCTGCCCACCTAGCAGTTTGAAAGCACCTCAAAGTGCAAGTAGGTACCGCTCTGGCAGGAAGGTAAACAGCGTTTCCGTGCGCTGCTCTGGTTCGCCAGAAGCGGCTTAGTCATGCTGGCCACATGACCCAGAAGCTGTACGCCGGCTCCCTCTGCTAATAAAGCGAGATGAGAGCCGCAACCCCAGAGTCAGTCACGACTGGACCTAATGGTCAGGGGTCCCTTTACCTTTACTTACACATTTAACTCATATCCCCCTAGCCCCCCCAAAAAAAAACTTCAGGAAGTGTAGTTTGTTAAGGGTGCTGGGAATTGTAGCTCTCCTCAAACTGCAGTTCCCAGGATTCACTGGGGACAGGGGGTGTGCTTTAAATGCATGGTGTGTAGCAACAAACAAGCTGCAAATCTATGACCGGCTGCTGGGGGAATAAGCCACTTTGAACTCAAGTGAGGTAAACCCGCACAAGTCTGGGCTGCCCAGCTGCACTCTTAGGCACGCTTACTTGGGAGTAAGACGCCTTTCGATTCTCAGGGGCTTCCTTCTGAGAAAGGCACGCGCAGGCTTGGCTTGCAAAGCAGCAGCAGCACCCCCTCCCTCCACCCAACGAGAGCTCCTCCGCAGCTCCCATTCATTGCAAAGGCTTCCTTGCGCAGGAGTGCTTGTCTCCGGATCGGGCCCCTTGCACTGCGCGCTCCGCCGCCCACTTCTCCGCCCCGTGGCCCCACGGCGCCCATTCATCCCTCTCGCTTCCTCTCCTCCCCGCCGCGACTCACCGGCGAGCAGTAACGCGGGGCTGGTGCTGAGCCTCCGAGCCGGGGCGGCCTGGCTGCTGCTGCTATTGGCCCAGGCGGCCTGGGAGCAGCCGACTAAGGCGCGACGGGGCCTGGCCAAGCCGGCTGCACAAGGAGCAGCGGCGGAGGCGGCGGCAGAAGCCGTGCCAGGCCCGACCCGACGCAGCGCTCGCAAGGCCGCCAGTGCCACTGCCATGGCGGGGCCGCTGCACAGAGACGCGGCCGGGGCCAGAGGCGACAAGCCGGCGAGGGAGGCGGCGGCGGAGGACAAGGGGGAGGCGGGCCTTTCGGAAGGGGGCCTGGCTTGGCCTGGCCGGCGAGGAGGAGGAGGAGAGTGCGGAGGGGACGTGCGGGAAGGGGGTTGCCGCGGCAGCTGCTGCTTGCTTTATTTTACTTTAGGCATTTATTAACCGCCCATCGACCGTGTCCTCTGGGCGGCTTGCAAAAAAGAAAAAGTGGCGTGTGTTTTTTTAAAAAGTAACAGTAAAAAAATTAAGAGCAGTAGCATTTAGCACAAATCAGCCCAGAAGGAAGAGCCAACACAAGCAGCTCGTCATCCATCTAAAAGCTTGCTTCAAGCCATATAAACACTATTCTGACAAAACCTTAGGAGTTTTGTTTTTACTCTCGCCGGAAACAAGTTAGAGGAGTGCATCCCATAATAAGCGGAGGAGTGGTACTTTTTGCACTTTAGGAGCCCATCGTGACAAGCTCCATAGAGCCCTGTTCGCCCTAAAGAGAGTCCCAAAATGCAGATAGCTGTGTGCCGAGGAGCAGTGTGGTGTAATAGAGTGTTGGGACTCCGAACTGGAGAACCAGGGTTCAAATCCCTTCCTCAGCCTTGAAGCTCACTGGATGACCTTTGGGTACTCAGTGTCTCTCAGCTTACCTACATCACAGGTTTGCAGCAGAGGATAAAATGGGGAGGGGGAGAATCATGCACTTAAGGAAAGGTGAGATATAAATGTAATACATGAATAAATAACTAAAAGCATATAGCATAGTGGCTAATTTATTAGGAGCAGCTAAAGTGCAATCTAATAAAGCATTTTCCTGGGAGTAAACTACATTGCTTACTTCTGATTCCATAGGTTCATCCATTAAACACAAACACTTTAAATTTTCCGCCAGTTGAAATGCAAACTGTGTGCAATCAATACATGTCGTAGCATTATTGTTTGTGTCTTCCTATGCTCTGTGGACATCACTTCCTCAGTTAATGTTTTAGGACAGAGGTGGGGAACCTTGGGCCCAAGGGTCAAACGTGGCTCTCTAGACCTCTCTAATGGCCCTCCCCAGGCCAAAGGCCCATCTAGTCCAGCAACAATTCTCCCAGTTGTGAACAAGCAGGACATAAATGCAACAGTGCTCACCCCATCAACTGGTATTCAGAGCAGTACTGCCTCAGACACTGGAAAGTGAAAGTAATCATTGTGGCTAATAGTCACTGATATCTTTATTCTCTTTGGATTTGTGCAATTTTCTTAAAGCTATCTAAGTTGATGGCCATCTCTACATCTTGTGGGGAGCAAATTCAACCATTTAATGATGTGCTGTGTAAAGAAGTATTATCTTTTGTCCTGAATAATCCAACATTCAGCTTTCTTGTATTGTCCCAAGTTCTAGTACTCAGGGAGGCTTCATCATCCATTTTCTCCACATCATGAATAATTTTATACATTTCCAAATAAAGCATTTTCTAAGAATAAAGTATGAATTGAACTGGTAATGATTTTATAATTTGTTATAAACAATGAAGCTGAACAATGCTTTGGATTCTTAGCTTTTATTATACTACACTGTGGAATAAGTACAGAATAAAGCAGTATGCATAATCAAGCAAGCATCAGTTCTATAGTTCTGTCAAGCACTCATTTTCACATCTATCAGTACAGAGTTAAGGCCGGTATCTTAAGTACAATTATTGGAGAGCACATCAAGACCTCAGTCAATGGAAGTAATTCTGCTGTCTGCCACAACATTTCACAAACATGGAAGCCACAATATCTAAAGGCAGCTGCAACAGCTGTAAGTTGAAGTTGGTAAGAAGACCAGTTGTTAGTTGCTCATTACAGGTTCTTCTAGTTTTTTGTCAGAGGCTGGTTTATGGTCAGTTTTACATTTTATTCCAAGGAAGCTGCAAATTTTCTTCAGCATTAGGTCAACAATCTCTTCCTCTTCAGAAGCCTAAAAAGCACACAGAGACACACACAATACAGTTTGTATGAGTATAGACATAACAGTGAATTGCATCCTGGGCTTGTGTAGAATTTGTGGTGGTGATTAGAACTACAGGCAGGAAAAAGTAGAACACAAAACAGTCATGTTAAACATTGTAGTAGCACACTGCAGTAAACTGTAGTGTGGCCAGGGGAATATGTGAATTTCAGTATGAGTAGATTGTCAGCCAAACTACGGTAAACCTGCTGATTAATGTGCATGTGATTAGGCTGCAGGCAGATACTGAAAATTACTGCCAAAAGAAAGGAAGACAAACAGGAAAATGTATTGGGGGGTTATTCTTAGTTCTAGTTCATAGTTAGCAAGCTCAATCACAAGATGAGGTTTGGACAGCACACTGAGCCGTGGCTTAGCTTAGTGCAGGAAGGAGTAAAAAGTCTAGGGAGAAGCAAAATGGATTACTGTGTCATGTGAACCAGGCCAGGACCCCACACTTAATGCTAACACCATGGTTTAGTCTCATGTGGATGAGTTGTGGCAAGTCCAAGTAAAGAATTAGGCTTGGATTCTCCCCTTTCCTCCTCCTGCACAGCCAGTAGGCAGAGATCTACATATGTTTGTTCTGTAAGACTTATCTGTTTGTTTTGTTGTATGAACCAGGAATTCTGGCTTTAAACAAACCAGTTACTTAAACAAACCAGCATCACAAACCACAGTTTGAAACTGGCTTGTTCTGAAATTTACCACAGTTAGTTGTATGGCAGGTTCCCTGGTTCATAAAACAGGACAACATTCTTTGAAAATGAAAGTAATGGGAGGAGTGGAAGGGGAGCAGGCAAGCCTGATGTCCATGTACAGTGGTACCTCGAGTTACAAACACGTCAGGTTACAGACTCTGCTAACCCGGAAGTAGTACCTCAGGTTAAGAACTTTACTTCAGGATAAGAACAGAAATTGTGCGGCGGTGGCGCAGCAGGAGCAGGAGGCCCCATTAGCTAAAGTGGTACCTCTGGTTAAGAACAGTTTCAGGTTAAAAACGGACCCCCGGAACGAATTAAGTTCTTAACCAGAGGTACCACTGTACGTAGTACTAAACGATGGTTTAGTAATGTTACATATGAACTTGGCCTGTGCAGGTCCTTGATTAGTGGGATCTCCCAGTATATATATATATATATGTACAGACCAGGGCAGATGGCATCCTTAAATGTGGAAATTCACATATTACTTCTGTGGACAAACCTGATAATGTTTCTGTTCCTCACTGAAAGCGACAAGGATCACAGAAATGAAGAGATTCAACACCACAAATGTCATAAAAATGATGCAGGAGCCAATTAAGAAGGAGCCCAAGATGGGATTGTAGTCCAAGACCTGAAAGAGACATATATGTTACAATAAGGGATATTGTTATCTTCTTCAGGGAAGAGAACATTATTTTCAGGGACAGTACTTGTGAATTATTTAAACACTTCAGTTTGCTGGTGTCTTGGGTAAGCATCATGTTTGCCCAAATGCACTCTGCCTTAATACTGAAGAGAGTGCTTCCTTGTATATTTTGAGGATAAGTAATGCTTAAGATATGTGTTGCTGTTTTTTTATGTACAAGTTATACTACCGTACTTCAGTGGGAGCAGGGGGTAGCATTATGAAAAGTAAAAAAAATGTGTTCCCTCTTGCCTCTCCCATTCCAATGTATCATTGCCTGTGACTTTTGCTCCTCCTTTTCCACCACCCTCACCTGTCCAAAGGTCTCTTCCTGCTTAGTCAACTTTCGTCCTTTCTTCCCCTTTATACCCAGAACTGCTTTTCAAAACCCCAAAAGGTGATTTCACCTTTATTGCTTTGCTCAAAACCTGCCTTTTCATGAAGCCTTTGGTAAACCACTTACAGTAGTCCCAATCCACAGCCTTTCCCAGCTTGTTGCCCTCCTGATGTTTCGGACTCCCATAATTGCTGACCATCAGCCATGCTGGCTGGGGATGATGGGAGATGGGAATCAAACAAGGTTGAGGAAGGTTGTCTTATGATAACTAGGGATGGGTGAATCTGTACATTTAATTTTCTCTCCGTTTCTCATTTTTCTCTTCCTAAGTTCAGTTTTCCACATTTCGCATTACAGTGGTACCTCGGGTTACAGACGCTTCAGGTTACAGACTCAGCTAACCCAGAAATAGTACCTCGGGTTAAGAACTTTGCTTCAGGATGAGAACAGAAATCGTGTTACGACGGTGCAGCGGCAGGGGGAGGCCTCATTAGCTAAAGTGGTACCTCAGGTTAAGAACAGTTTCAGGTTAAGAACGGAGCTCCAGAACGAATTAAGTTCTTAATCTGAGGTACCACTATAGTTTGCATTAAAAAAAAGTCCTGAAAATTCACCAGCATTTTACTGCATTTCCCCCCATAATAGGCACATGTTTATATGCATTTTCTCCCTAATATACACATGTTTGCAAGGCAATGTTCCCTAATATGATACATTTTTGAATGTTACTTTTGCTGATAGATGCATGGCCATGCACACTTTACCCTAGCATTTGCTTTTTGTACAAATTTATTGGCTGGAGAACAGCATTGCAAAATATAGATAGTTTAAGATTGGGGTTGGAAAAACTATGTGTGTGGATGGTGCTAAATAAATAAAACAACAGATATGTGGTTCATTTAATTTAATTCAACCTTAGTTACAAGGAAAAAAACCTCTGAAGGATAAACCATACCTCTTCATAGTTGAAGATTCCAAGCTGAAGACTGACCATTGTCTCCGCAGAATCAAACAGGGTCTTGTAAGAGTTCAACTTCCAGCCGTATATCAAGTTTGTCTGCAAATTATAAAAATGGGAGGAAAACAGTTTCTCACTCAAATCACAAGGCCAGTTAGCAAGTGACAGAGATGACTGCGCAGACTAGGTTCTCCATAATACACATGGTTATTTTTCTGCTTAGACACAGGGTGTATTGGAGCGGTTGGTGTCTCTTTACTGCAGAGATGAAGGTTTAGGTTAAAGCTGAGGTTGCAACTGAGAAATGAGCCCTCCTTGAAAATATAATTACTGTTGCTGCCAGTTGCTTTCACAAGCCCCCTGCGCTTTAGGCCTCAGCTTCTGCATATGTTTAAAGTGCTCATACCACTTTAAGAGTCATGACTTCCCCCGAAAGAAACCACCTTTGGGTTGTAATTTGTTTCAAGCTGTTTTAATGTTGTATTTTAAATGGCTGTAACCTGCTCTGGGACCTTAGGGTGACGAGTGTGTAGTAAGTTGAACTCATTGTCATCATCCTTGATATCTGGGGCTGATGGGAATTGTAGTCCAACAGCATCTGGAAGGTACCATTTTCACTACATCTGTATAACAGACAGGACTCTAAAAAATATATGAGCAAACTAATCCAAATTATGGAGGCTTGGTAGGGGGCAGGGGGAGAGAGAGAGAGCTAAAGCCAGAAAACCGACTGGGAATAGATGGAAGACATGGGTACTCACCGCTATGGAGTAGGCAAGGAACATGATTATAATCACAGTTGCAAATCCTGATATGTCCCCCCAGGCCCTCCTCAAGGTTGAGGTGATCATGTTCAGCTTTGGGTTCAGCCGCAGGAGATGCCAGAGTTTCACAGTGGCAAGAAGAACCAGAAAGGCAATCAGGTAGCCCAGAACTGCATCAACAGTCGCTGTCTGATTGAAGCTTGCAAACCTGAAGGAATATGGGAATTGTTATGACATAGTGGAGGCTATTCTGTTAGGGCACATGGAGCACGGCTCCACCAACCTTAGTTACCCTCCACCTACTTGCCTGCCTGCCTCTTTCCTTCCTTATAACCAGTCCTGGGGCTGTCTCTAGATGTCAGCTTCCTCCTCCTCTTTTGTCTCAGTGTTACTTTTTAAAAACTCACCAGGGAAGAGAATAATAATAATAATAATAATAATAATAATTTATTTATACGCCTCCCATCTGGCTGGGTTTCCCCAGCCACTCTGGGCAGCCCCAACAGAATATAAAAGCACAATAAAACATCAAACATTAAAAACTTCCCTAAACTAGAATTAGTTGGCACTGCCTGTCATTGACCTCCCTGCTCTCTGCTCTACCAGTCCCAGCTAGCACCGGTAATGAGGCAGTGTTGTGTAGTGGTTAGAGTGTCAGGCTGGGACTGAAGAGACCTACTGTAGGTTCAGATATTGGCTCAGGCACAAGGTTCACTGAAATTTTTGGAGCAAGTCTCTTTCTTTCTCAGCCTGATCTGCTTCACATGGCAGGTGAGAATCATGTTTGTCTCCTTGAGCTGCTTCTTGGAGGAAAGGTGGAGTTGAGCAAGCCAACCAATCAATTCTTTTCCAATTGAAACATAAGTCCTTAAAAATTGGACAGCTTCTCTCAGAGCAAAAACCTGGGAGCTGCACATTAATTGTATTTTATATAATCTTTATGGATGCAAGCAGTAGCTATTACAAAGTTGAAAAAACGCCTTGCAAAAAAAAAAAAGGTCTATGTGAATTTCATATGACCCATCCCATCCATTCTGAGCTTGCAGTTTAAAAAAAAAATCCACAAAATTATATAAAAAACTTGTATTTAAAAACTTTTTTCAAACAAAAAATTCTAAAGCCACATTTTTCTAAAGACCTTTTTCTGAAACCATACATTTTTTAAAAAATACATTTTGGTACTCTTTAATGCCAAACTCTGTACTGCAGCATTTGAACAAGTGCCAAAATCAAAGGATAATTATATTTGGGAGATGCAAATCAGGTCAGTTTGCATTGGAATTCACAGACATCAAATTCCACAGATCACAAAGGCTGCTTAAAAATTCTTCCCTTTTCTACCCATGCTGGGATGGAGAGTTTGCAAAGTGGCAGGATAGGGAGCCCTTACTCATCCTTATGCTCCTGATAGTAGCTGATGTCCCGCAAGCCCAAGATTGTCCGTCTTACAAACACCAACAGGGCGCTCCAGCTGATGGAAATGATGGCCAGTTCCAACAGGTTCCACTTGCTTCGGAAGTAATTCCATTTCAGAGCGCGCATGAGCTTTCCCTGCAGGAACAAGGTGTTCAGTTCCAAAGAATGCATTAAGTGATCGTTAGGGAGAAAGGCAGATTGTGTTGCTACAATGCAACCTCATTTCGATGACTAGCCAAGCATGACCTCATATCCAAGGATCACACAGTCAGTTAAATGGGAGAGCTGCTGGAATGCAGAGAGGGTCTCCAGCTTTTTCTGGCTGGCGGCTGCCTCTGATTTCTAACAGCTGCCTGACCTGCAGAGATTCAACATGGAAAAGAAGCTAAGGAAAACACTTCTGATGTCTAGCCTGTTCCGCAAGGAGCATTCTGCTCTGCAAACTGTTTGTTATCTATTCCCAACCATATTCACGATGCATGTGCAGAGACTTGGGGTGGCCTAAATTTTAAATGGCAAGTAGGAAATGTATGCAATTTCCTGGGTTAACATGGCTGCAAATAAAATCTTGCTGGAACCAAATAAGAAGGAAAAGGCACTAAATTTCTTCTAGATTCCGCTTCTTTTTCCAAAAGTGGCTTTTACTTCATGTGAAAGATCACATAAAACATGGAAATCAACAGTTACGGAAACGACAGGAAAATGGAGCAAAGTGCTGTCTGAATGCAGCCTTAGGTACTCCTTTATCTCCAATGATGTTCTGGAAATTCCATGCAAAAGAGAAAGCCAATCAGTTTGTAGGACAGCATCCCAAAACTTCAGGGTGGTCACAAAAAGAAGGACAGCTGTCTCATTACAAGTCTTTGGCTGCAGGCCTCTGCACACCTACCTGGACAAAGTCCCATAGAACTAAGTGTGGGACTTATTTCTGAGAAGACATCTATACAATTACACTGTCTGGGTTACTTAGTCCCTGCCTGAAGGGTGTGGCAGTTGACTGGCAGCAGGAGTTACAAGCACTATAATAATCAGGAACACTTAAGTGTCAGGGCTGGTGGCAGCCAGGGCTGCTGATAGGATTCGCAAGCCCTGGAACATATGTGACCAAACAATATGGGTGTCTGGTCTCCCGAATGCATGGGGGACCTGTGTATTCTTCAGATGTTGATGACTTCCAACCTGTATCAGCCTCAGCGAATATGGGCAATGGCCAGGGATGGTGAGAATTTCACTTAAAAACATTTGGAAGCATTAATTTGTGGAAGGCTGGTTTAGCAGCATTGTTCTCAACCGTGGCACAAGAAATTCCAGGTTCACATCACCAACAAGGTTCGCTTTCCTGGCTCAGGGTGGAAGAGAATGCCTTCCACTGCTCAGAGTGCCTCTAAATACCAGTCGCTGAGAACCAAGAGCAAAAGAGTGCTACTGCGCACAGAGATATGTGGCTGGCTACTGTTGGATGCTGGAGCAAATGGACCATTGGCTTGATCCAGCAGGGCTTGTCTGATATCCTTACCTGTCCCACCATGTAGTAGATGACAAAGAGGAAATAAATGACTTCTGCTGCTATCACAAAGATATGCAGACCATCTGTGTATGGATAAAGCCGGACACTCTGCAGCTCAGACCGCGTGAAGAAGGCCCCTGTGAAATCAAAGCAGAAGTCAGTATTCTGTTCTGTCGGACAGCAGGTACAGCTTATTGTGGAGGGTTAAGACAAACTGTACAAATATGAAATGCCCTCTTCTATGTATTGTAGCTGTTAAAGGTATGGAAACCCTGTTCCTTTTTCTGTCTGGCTCACTGTATCCATGTAATATGCTGAGCTGGTATTGAATTACTACAGTAATGTAGAGACAAAATGTGCCAGGCAAACTCCCAGAGTAATGTAGGCACTGCTTTTTTCTTTCATGAAAACACTGGCACAGATGTCAGGCTCTTACCTAAGGCATTGGTTTCAAACATGAGGCTTACAATGCAGAAGAGGTTCACATTTGCATTGTAGACAGTGAACTCAACAAACACGGCTCTCGTAAATGTATCCAGCCAAACGTTATTGAAGAGGTACTGGAGGATTCTGCCAAAATACAAAGTGAGGAATGTGTAATCACATGCTGAGGTCCTAAAAATGTTAAGATGCTAAGGAGTCAAGAGGTTGCCAAATCCAATCTGAAGATCCAGCAGAAAAGAGGGTGGAACCCCATTTCCTGCAGTAACAAAGCATTCAATCCAGAACATTTGAAATGCCCTTAGATCAGCCATTGGTCTAAACTAGCCTTTCCCAACCTAGCACCTTCCAGATGGTTTGAAAGACAACTCTCATTAGCCACAGCCAGCATAGACACCCTCAACCCCACTTTATCTGGCTTGACTGTGTAAAAGGTAAAAAGAACTCTACAGCTCCAGGAGAATACAAATAATATCAATACACCATTGAAAAGCAAGCCTTGCCTAACAGCTATTCAAAGTCCCAAACTTCAAAATGTAGTCACACCCTGGAAATGGCATGGATGCAATTAGAAAATGCAGAAATGCTTATGGCATATTTGCAAGGAAACGTAAGTTTACCTCTTTACTAAGACTTTTCCCAATCTGTACTAAATCTGGAGCTGCAACTGCATGCTTTGCAAAACATCAACACCCCATCTTCTCTTGCTTGGTTGCTTCCCATTGAACTGCTAATGGGTGGGATGGGACCCTAGAACCAGGTGGGGCCAAGGATTCCCAACCCCTGAATTAATCTAACTGATTAAACTACTGCTGCTACCACTACTACAGTGGAAGCACAAAAAAGCAGAGATAAGCTACCTGGAGGCATTGTGGGCATCTGTCCCCAAGTGAACCACATATCCACCACCTCTGTAGACAGCCAGTTTGCCCCAGATTGGGTGCCCTCTCAGTTTGGACTGACTCTGATACTGCCATGCAGAACTGAGTTCTGATGAGTTATCAAAGGAAGAGACGTTCCAGTGCGCTCCATAGTCTGCCATGTCCTCTGTGTCGAAAGAATAAGAAGCATGGCACTTGCCAACCGTCAGCTGCAGTTTGGGATCTATTGGGCAGGAGTTGCCCTTCACTCGCACCTGGCGAATCCGGGCACTGCCCACCAGCTTGGAGTTGCCATCTGTGATAAAGCCTTGTTGAAATTTAAGGGGGGAGGGGGAGAGAAAGTGTTTGAAAAGGCAAATCCTTCCACAGTCATTTGCAATGCTTTCAAAGTTAATTTGTACCCTACCAACAGTTTTATATTTACTCATTTTATTTATTTATGGCAATGTCGTCTGAGTGACAAGCAAACCCTCGTAATAAAAGCACAAGATGCAAAGAAACAGAGACTAAGAAGCAGCAACTGAGGCAGCACAATGCAATGCTAACTGTATTTGCTCGTATAAAAACTTCATAAGGCTAAAATCCTTTAAAAGGCAGGTCTTTTTCAGTCGAAGGGCTGCATCTCCTACTGGGCCAGAGTCTGAATGCCAGACAGAGCCCTGGTGGGGCACATTTGGCCCCTAGGTTTCAGTCTCCTCATTGCTACCATAAGGATAAAAAACACAGCCAGCTGAGCCTAAAATTATTCCAGTAATAAATTAAAAATATGTCCATGCTAAAACAAGAAAGCCCTTAAAAAACACAACTCGGTGAACTGAAAAGTGTCTGGTGCCAAAAAAATAAATTAATGTAAGCACCGGGTGAATATCCCAAGATATAGCACTCCATAACAGAGGAGCCACAAGAGAGACGGCCCCTCTCTCTTACAGCCACTTTCTCAGGGGGTACTTGCAGAATGGCTTCCACTGATGACTTTAGGGTACAGACAGCAGTATATTGGAAGAGGAGATGCTTTAAAGCAGAGACGGGAAACCTAAGGCCCAGAGGGCCAAATGGAGCCTTCCATGCCTCTGTATCTGGGCTTTGGGACTCTTCCCAGGCCTTCGGCTCATTAAACAATATATGGGTTTTTTGTTTGTTACTCTGTTATGTATTTTTGTGTTTTTATATTGTAAACTGCCCCTGATCTTTGGATGAAGGGTGGCATAGAAATTTAATAAATAACTGAAATGAAACAAAATGAAATGAATTTCTGTACCTTGGTGTGAGCTGTACAAGTTGCTGACTAAGGTGGTTCTGGCCCATTTGAAGAAGTCCTGATAACTGAAGACGTCTTGGAATCCGTCTGTGAAGCTGTTCTCAATGTGTTTGTTCAGGTAATAGGAGTTAGGATCACGCTGCCCATAGGCAACCAAAAGCAGCATCCACAAGAAACCCAAGTAGGCTGGGGAGAGGAGAGCAAAGCAATATGAAAGCAAAGAAGAAACCCAATAGGTTTCCAATGGTGCTTCTAGACAGGAGCTAATACATTGCAAAAGGCTCATTCTACTTTGTGCAATTGTAGTACGAACACAGGTTTTTCTGTACCTTTGCAAACACACCTTAAAAAACAATTCAAGAAGTGTGCAAGAACACAACAGCAAACATTGCCACCCTAATCGTAACTGAGTTACCTGGGAGTAAGTCCTATTGAATTCTGCGTAGATATGGTTAAGATTCCACTGGTTAGGATTACGGCGTAATGATTGTGGCATATGTTTTTATGAGGGGCAATATCCATTTCCATTTGGTTCTAATTTTTAAATACTAAGGTCTTGCACACACAAAAAATTGTACTGTGCTTACGGTCCCTAAGGTAACATCCCATGTTTACTTTGTGGACCACTTAAGAGAATAGCTTCTCTAAACTGGGCTTGTCCTTGTTGGTTTGTTTTTAATGGCCCAGAGGACAATCTTCTGTTTGAAGAGTTCCCTATTGCCCAGCCCAAATCCAGTTTAAAGATAAAGAACCCTATAAAGAAGAGAGGGCCTTGTTTCAAGGCAGAAGGGGCATTGAAAGTTGTCTATCAACAGCGAGCAGTAAAAAAGGTAAAGGACCCCTGGACAGTTAAGTCCAGTCAAAGGCAACTATGCGATGTGGTGCTCATCTAGCTTTTCAAGGCCAAGGGAGCCGGTGTTTGCCCACAGACAGCTTTCCGGGCCATCTGGTCAGCATGACGAAACTGCTACTGGTGCATGGAGGACCGTGACAAGTGCCAGAGCGCATGGAAATGATGTTTACCTTCCCACTACAGTGCCACCCACTCACTTTACATTTACCTTACCTGTTTATTTACTTGTACTGGTATGCTTTCGAACTGCTAGGTTGGCGGAAGCTAGGACAGAGCAACAGGAGCTCACCCCATCGTGCGGATTCAAACTTCCAACCTTCCAATTGGCAAGCCCAAGAGGCTCGGTGGTTTAGACCACAGCAGCACCCGGCACACAGCTCACCTGATCAGTCTTCCCCATGATGAGATTATTGTATTTCTATTTACGTTTACAGTAATCATTTCTGAATGTGCATCTATACATATAAATTAGACAAGCACATTTTATGTGAATCAGTGGCGCCTGTTGTCCCCGTCTTCTTGACAAGGAAATAAGTAACTCCCCAACTCATGCCTTCTTTTAAAGCCCATTCTCTCTCCCCTCACAGTATGTTTAGAATGCAATCATAAAAGTACCCAATATTTCTCTAATCAGGGCAAATGCTTTCTGCTCCTTGATGCGGTTATTCTTCATTTTCTCAATGTCGGTAGAAGGGGGAGGCTGGTAGATGTTGCTTCCGCTGTCCCTGCGGGCTCCAAAGATAGGGTTTGAGTCACCTGTACAGGAAGAGGAGGCAGAGGCCTATTACTAGCCTGGAATTTATCAGCTGAAAACAATAGGAGAGGGACAATGTTTGGAGACTGTGAATCCATGGCAATAGGCCTATGTCACCAATCTCAGGTAGCGCATTCTTGGCTGTATGAAAAGTGCAGTTTCCATTGGGAAAGCCTAATTTAGACTAGCCCTAGAGCTAGTTTTGATAGCCTACATCAGGGCTGGGGAATCTTTTTCAGCCTGAGGAATCATTCTCTTCTAGGCATCCTTCCAATGGTCACATTTCAGTGGTGGGCAGGGTCAGAAGCAAAAGTGGGTGGAGCAACAATGCTCACACGTCCCTGTCTATCCAGGCAAGCAAGAAGCATCATCAGGAGCTCAAAGGCACATTCTAGTTATCAAACCCCACCCCAAAATAGCAACAGTCTGGGGGCAGGGTTTGTGGTTGTTTTTGCATAAAGTTCTTACTTATTTTTCATGCTACAGAAAATACATTTTAATAGCAACAGTACGATGTGCCCCAAGCTACCAAGGACATTCACACTCCTTTAGGTACCCAGCTCATTTAGAGCTCTGTAGGTCAAGGCCACAACCTTCAAATACAAAGTCAATGAAAGCTTCTTTGGTTTCTTGACCATTTCCAGGCACAATTATAGACAGACAAGCAGGAAGGATTGCAGGCTACTTTGTATATCTCCTTGCAGTCACTTCCTCAGCACGTGGGAAACCTGTGGTCCTCCAGTTGTTGTTGGACTGCAGTTCCCACCAGCCCCAGTAGGCTGGTCAGGGATGATGGGAGCTGGAGTCCAGTAACAGGTCCCCTCCCCCCACTAGCTGATTAATAGTGTGATCTTATATACGTTTGTCGACTCAGAAGGAGAAACTAATGACTTCAGTGTGACTCACTGTTCGGTTAAGCGTGTATAGCAATCCTAAACACACTTACTAGGGAGAAAGCCCTACTGAACACTATGGGACTTGCCTCCAGATAAACATGGAATAGATTGCACTTTGCCTCCACAAAATCTATCAGTATATTGTTAATTATAAAACAGCAATACGATAGTTTGATTTAAAAAAAACAACTCTCTATAAATACTCAGTCTTCCATCACCAACCGTAAGCTGGTTTTTAATGCTGACTGCCCTTCTGTTTTAGGCTAAGATGCTTATTTGATACAATTGTTTATGTAACCTGCACTGGGTTCTTACTAGGAAAACAAAGGATACATATTCAAAAACCCCTTTAGGAACTTCAATGGAGAAGCTGAATTATTTAGAAATGGAAAATAGCACAAACTTACCTAGTACCTTGGATTATGGACAAAAAAGCGTAGACTGACTGGAGCAAAGAAAAGGTCATCGATATCAAACAGTGCATGTGATCTAACACCCATCATGGCTATTGAAATGGGCAGGAGAGAATATGTTTGGCTTAAGGTGAGATAAAAATAGATCTCTGCACAAGCGAGAAAAGGGCCTAAGTGGAGCGAGGAGCTCTGCTGTACAGGCAGTGAAACTTCCACTTTTCAAAGATGACAAGGAAACTGGGCAGGTGTCCAGTACAGCGTGCTAATTTTGCCAGTGAAACTGATGTGACAACGAGAGGCAATTTCACAAGGGAAACCTGATGCTCCTGAGTCCTGGTTGCCCCTTATGGTCCACAAATTGCAGAAGAGGATGTCCCTTGATATCAGGCTTGTTTGCATGATGTACTGAACACAAGTTCAAACTGTTTCTATCCGTATTCCAGTGTTTGCATGCAGTGGCGTAGCGTGGGTTGTCAGCACCCGGGGCAAGGCAAATAATTTGCGCCCCCTAACCCGTGGATTTGCGCCCCCTAACCCTAACCCCCAGATGTTGCGCCCGGTGCGGCCGGCCCCCCCTGCACCCCCCACGCTACGCCACTGTTTGCATGAAAGAGGGCACACTTGTTGATCTGTACAGCTCAGCCACTATGTGCATAGGTACACAGACAGTACAACAATTGAACATTACTGTGAATAACATGAGTGCGCAACTATTTGCACATGCAGGTTACACAAACTGTGCAGTTATTGGTAGACTTGCCCCTATTCAGCACTTTGCTCTTCCTCAATCCTTTAGAAGCTGAGGAGCAAGTCTACCGTATGAACCTGCCTAGCTGTTAAGACAGTCCTCAGAAGGCCTTCTCTGCAGTCCCCTTCTTTTGGGAGCTTGATGGGTGGCAAACAGAAGGAGGACTTTAAATTACAACAACTACTTCTAGCTTTCTCTGTCCTACCATCAAAGCCTGGTCGTGATATTTTGCAAAGCCAGGGGAAATAAATTATAGGTCAGTTTTCCCCAATCAGCAGCCCTCCAGATGTTTTGAACACCAAATCCCATCAGACACAGTCAGCATGACCAATAGCCAGGGCTGGTGACAGTTATAGTTCAGCTACATTTGAAGGACACCAGATTAGGGAAGGCTAATGTTATTCTAGGCCATGTTATTAAAATAGCTTAATAAGTTACCTGGGGCAGACAATGGGCCATTGATAGATGTGTTTTCCTCATCTTCCTGTTCCACCTTTTTAAGAACCAGAGCAAAGAAAGCAGCAAACCCCAGTACCTGGAAAACAGTTGTTGCAGATCTAGAAACATATTTTGGCACAGATAAGCTTATTGTAAAATATCTATTTCTGACACCTTGCATTGGCAGTAAAGATATTGTGTTTTCTAAATGCAGATGAAGCCCGTAGAATATTGGAAAATCTGGCCACCAGGAATCTGTTTCAGTCTTTCTGAAGACGGCACAAATAGCATGCCACTGATTAATGAAGGCTGCCTTGCACATATCAAATTAAGATAATGCACCGTTAGAACTATGGTTTTTGAAGGTGCCAGCAATTCTGTAGTTAAACCAATAACTACAATTTCCAGGCTTCTCTTTGTTCAGACTCATGCTTAAAGAGATTTGAAACCAGTTTACATTTGTAGTATAGACATTAAATTAAAAGACGAAACAAAGCCCTACAATTCTTCCCACATATATTTAGATGGCCTCTTGGTACTCTGATTTGGCCTTAGGCTAGCAACAAGCAGATAAAAGCAGATAAATGAAAGTGCATATCCAGAGGCGTCCATAGCATCCCTTCTGCAAGTGGTCCACAGTAACAAAACCCTTGGTGAGCAATGCATATCCCCTCTTCATTTCCAAGCCCTGAATATCCTGCTGTGACCATTGACCGACATTCCCACTTATATGCATACATGTAAATGGAGCTTCTGCTATTGAACCTTATGTAACTAAAGCCTGTGATGAAAAGGAAGGGCAGTCTTCAGTGGTAGAGTATCTGCTTTGCATGCAGAATCTCCAAGAAGGGTTGTGGAAGACCCCTGCCTGAAACCCTGGAGAGTGCAGAGCTGCCAGTCAGTGCAGACAATACTGAGCTGGATGGAGCAGTGGTCTGACTCAATATAAGGCAGCTTTCTAATGTTCCTAGGGGAGCCTACCTTTAAGGGTTGTGTGATGAAAAGGCTTTCAAAGAAGGAGATGGCCATGGAGATCAGCCACTTGATGGAGTTGTCCTTCCCATAATGCAGCCCGTACAGCATTGTGAAGAATCCCGATACGCCGCTGGTGATGGCCACCAGAGACCAGCCAATGAAGACACACCACCAGGGCAGGCCTTTGGGTGTTGGTTCCTTCTTGCCATCTCCAAGAATGCTGGGAGTTGGTGAGCCTCTGGTGAAGCAAGAAAGCTGGGTTACATGACATATACAAGAGCTCAAAGCAGTGGTAAAAAATGCTAAATAAGCATCTTAACCGGGAGGGGGCAGAATGTTGAATGAAAAAGATAACAAGTGTGAAAGAGTGCTTTAAAAGTATGGTAGGGATATGGTCCTTGTCATCCCTCAGCCATTCACTCACTGTGTGGCCTTAGATAAAAAAATCTCTTGACAGATTAACTATTGAATTTTATATTCTCAAAACAGGAGTTTGAATATCTGCTTCCTTGTCCCTCATTCCATCTTAAAACATCTTAATTCCATCCTGCAGACTCCATGACTTCACATGAGCTAACTTTTTTCCCTCATTCTCCCCACCCCGTTTTCCTCCCCCACTCTGTTTACTGTCTAGCTTGATGAAGTGTTCTAGTGAACTCAAAAGCCTGCACGCTACTTTGTGACATTTTGGTTAGATTACATCTATTGCTGGTCATACTCAGAGTAGACCCACTGAAATCAAATGACACAATTAACTTAGGTCTATTCATCTCAGTAGGTCTAATCTGAGCAAAGCTTAACTGAGTACAACCTGTGGCCCTATGGTGGATTTTTGGCCTCAGGTTTCCCTTCCCTAAACTGTAAACTGGGAATAACAAACCTATTTCATAGGAGTCCTATGAGGAAAAAGTCAACAAGGCAAAGCTTGTAAATGTTCTTATGTAAGATAAATGCATGGGCAATGGCATGAGGCCCCTGGACCTTCCCCAAACCCATCATTTTACCTCTCGCTGATGGATGCTGCAGAGCACAGCTGGCTTTCCAGGAAGTCCTTCATGTGCCGAACCTGCCTCACAGCCTGGGAGTAGCTTTGTGGGCTCTGGAATCTGTGAGGCCCCAACAGCTCCATCTCCATCTCCACATGCTGCAGCTGCATGTAGAGGCAGCGGTTGTAGTCTCGATGCTTCAGCCTTTCACCCACTCCTTTTTCTGGAGTTGGAGTCCTTGTCTTTTCTAGAGGGAGAGGAAAACTAAAAGTTGTTTACTTGGAAATTAAAAGAACACAGTCATTTGTAACAGCTGTTTGATGGTGGAATGGACTCTTCTTCACGGGAAGTTGGATGGCTACTTGTCAGAGATTCCTTAGCTGTGATTCCCGCATGTCATCTTGAACTCACCTTTTCTGTAAACTAGAATGCCCCAAACGCAGCAAACATTCCCCATAGGGAGTTGTTCCACCCCTTGATCGTTTTGCTTGCTCTTTTCCTGAACCTTTCGCAACTTTACACTGCGCTTTCTGAGTTAAGGTGACCAGAACAGTACAAATGTAGTCACACCATAGATTTGTATAAAGGCATTATGATATTGGCAGTTTTATATTCAGTTATTTTTCTAATCATTCCTAACATGAAAGTTGCCCCTTTTTCACAGTTGCCGCACACTAGAATCCCAAGGTCTCGTTCCTGGTCAGCCACCAGCAGTTCCAACCCAATGAACATATGTGTGAAATTAGGATTTTTTTTGCCCCAACAGGCAGCAAAATGTCTCAGGCTGGCCCTGGTGAACTATCTCAGAGAGTGAGCATGTCAGCCGCTAGGACCGTGTTGCCTGCCAGATGGTTCTGTGTCCTTGGGAGCTGTTATCACCTTCACTTACCGGAATTTTGCTGCATCGGAAATTGCCAGCTTGTAACTTACCTTGTAAATCCACCAAGCCGAGGGTGATGATAATTGGATCATCTTTCTTCTTGCTCTCATCATAAAATTCCTGTCCGATCCTGTTCTGCTGGCAGATAATGTCCTCAACCAAGGCCAAGAGCTTGTTGATGTCAGTCGATTTGCCAAAATCAGGGTCTGGGGAAGGCAGTGGGGCCTTGAGGGTTTTGAACAGGGAGTTGGCAATTCGCCTGATATCCTGTATGGAATCAAAAGATATGGTGGCAATGGGAAAGAAACTCCAAATTTGCCAAGATTATGAAAATGCCATCTGTGTTGGTTTCATGCAGAAAACATGCAAGGTTTTCCCCACCTTGATCCATGCCCAAACCCTAAAAAAACACCATCCCCCTCTTCCCAAAAAGAAAGATGAACAGAATCTTGCAATTAGGGGACATGCTACAGCTCAGTGTTAGGGCACCTGTTCTGCATCCAGAAGGCTCCAGTTTCAATACCCAGCATCTCCAGTTAGGACTGGGAGAGAACCCTGCCTGAAAGCACTGTAGAGCAGCTGCCAGTCAGTGTAGACAATACTGTGCTGTATGGACTGTTGTGTCTGGCTCAGTATAAGGCAGTTTCCTTTGTTCTTATATACCAGAGATGTCCAACTCCCAATAGACTGTGATGTACTCACAGTATAAAGAAACTGACTGTGCTCTACCTATTGTCTTTGGATGGATCAAAGTTGCTGAACTTTTTTTGGAGAGGCAAAGTTGTTCAGCGTTCAGCTTTTCTTAGGAAGCCAGAGTGGTTGAGCTTTTTTGAGGAAGCAGTAGTTGTTGAGCTTTTTAAATTATTCTTTATTTTGGGGGGGAAGGAGATCCAGAGATTGACCAGTATCTACCAGAAACACCCCGCAATCTACCAGTAGATTGTGATCTACCTGTTGGACGTCCTCCTATATACCATTTGTAAGGAGGAGAGGGAGGGAGAGAGAGAACGGGGAGGTCTTTATATAAACTTGAATTCCTTTTCCAAAGAAATAAAATGCTGGAGGAGAGGAGCGACTACATATTATCATGATCATGAAATTGACCCTATACTGATCAGGCATTGTGTCCTTGATTGCACAGGGGCAGTGGAGCCATCAGAGGAGGATTTTGGGGCAGAAATCCCAGGCCCCATGCAGCAGATAGAGGGCAGGCAGTCTGCAAAACCAGAAGGGCAGTTTACCAGATTCTCAAATCGAGAAATACACATTGCACTTTAAAGAATGGGGGTGTGGGTGGATAAAATCCTCATGCCCAGAATCTTGTTTGTTTGTTTATTTAAATTTAAGAGAGTTTATAAACCATTTCATCAGAGTCACCAGTGTCAGGTGGAGCAAAAGGAACATGAAAGCTTGCCTTGTCACCAGGTCAAGCTATTTTGTTCATGTAGGTCAGTACTGTCTGTTCTGACTGGAAGGGTCTCAAACAGAGAACATAGGAAGCTTCCTGATATTTTCAAGACTGCCTAGCAGTGGCTTCCAGAGTTTTAGGCAGGAGCTTGTTTTCAGCCCTACCTGCAGATGCTGGGGATTAAAACTGAGACCTTCTGCTTTTGTCCTTCTAAGTGGAGATGGCACCTTCTGTAGGCAAAGCATGTTTGACTCAGCATTAGGCAGCTTTGTATAGTCACGTGGCTTGCCTTGATCACAGCCTCCGGAGTGAGTGACATATTCTGAGTAGCTTGGTGCAGAGGCGCAGGTAGGTCTGGGGACACTCGCCCACTTTTCCCTGGTTTCTTCTCTTTCTTAGGCTGAGGCCGGATGTTCCTGAAGATCTGGACGATGAGCAAGTTGATGGGGAACATGAGGAGGGAGCTCTCAAAGCCAATCATCACCTCCTGCCACGTGAACTCTATTTTACCTGGCAATATCAGGCAGAAGAGAGGCTTTGCAGTTAGGGATCAGTTAGAATTTTCATTTTCTTTGCATTTTAATGAGAAACTACCTAATACGTACTTCTAGAACAATAGAGTCTTTCAGGAATAAAAACAAATTCACAGAAAACTGAAGACTGGGATGAAAGTCATTAGAACTACTATTTTCCTAAACCCATTCTCATTCTGCTTATTCCCTCTACTCTCCACCCTCTTGCAACAGCAACCAGCTAAATTCCTGTTAAAGTCCCAGCATTCCATACCTTAACACTCCAACATTCCAAACATATATGCAACATTCCTCCCTACCTAACATTCCATACTCCAAACAAACTATCCTCCTTTGCTAATACAAATCCCAAACGTGGTTCATTACAGAGGCATTCATTTGCAAAATTTGGGATGTCAACACTCTGACCTGATGAATCCATGTTCTTTGCTTAAGAAGCCATGCATGCTGGAAAGCTTTTCTAGTAAGCATTTATATAGCAGGTTTCACACACTCAGAGTGCTTTACATGGATAATCTCAGAAATCTCGCAAACAGCCCTGCAGAGTAGGCCAGTATGGTTATTCCCAAATAACTGAAGAAATGAACAAAGTAGCAGCCTGCTTAAAGTCCAAAGCAAGAAGAACCCTTCAGATCTATAGAACCCCTTCCTTGTTCAGCAATCCGTCTTAACTCTCACCACAGTTCCAACTCAAGTGGTAAGGCTGGCATGCAGTTACCTAAATCCATTTTCTGGTCAGCTGGATCCTTAGGCACACCCCAGAACATGATGCTGGTCAGCATGGTGCACAGAAGCAGTGAGAAGCAACAGGATACCCTCTGGGCTCGCGTGAAGGAGCTGCGTGGTGAGCGGTTGAAAATGGAGTACCAAATATGCCCATCACGGAAACCCTTTGAGGTCTTCATGAAAAACAGATTGCTGCAGAGGAGCAAAGAAGGTGTCAGGTTGGACCACGAGTAACATTTATTTTAAGCTAAAACGTAAGACTGTTTCGTGGATACATGGCTTCATGACAACACAGACAAATGAAACCACCAGAGTCACATAAATCATTCTGGTGTGACTTGTAGTCTTCACCCTGTTAATAAACTCTAGCTGGGTGGGGAGCATCTGTCTTCCCAGACTGGCCCCTGGCTTGTTGTTCTCTTACACCTAGGGTGACACGACCTCCAACCAGGGGCCAGGGAGTGGGGAGAAGACCTTCCGCCTCCTTCTGTAAGTTTTACTAGCTAATCATTTCTATGGCAACAAACCTATACTTGGCCAATTCTTCAGTCATGTAAAAAGATGTTTAACAGTCTTGGTGGCCATTAACTTCAGTAGTTCCTTCCACTCTAGAACTACAACTTACAGATATAAAGCTACAGGCTTGCAGGGGACACAAAGATGGCATTCATACCAGCCCCACTACCCTATTAATTTTACACACGCACACACACACTTCTGCATTACCTACAAAACCCATGTGCAAGGGAATCTCTACTTCATAACCAGTGGAAGCATTTCTGGCAGGGCCAAAGCAGCCAGAGGAAACTGCTCCTTCTGGTCCAGCCTAACATACCTGAACTGCTTCATATCTTCCTCAGTAGCTATGGGGAAAACTTTATCGAGGACACAATCTCCGACATCAATGGCTAGCCAAGAGTTGCAGAGGAAATACCATTTCTGATCCGTGGCCACATCATGAACCAGCACACGGTTCACATACCTGTGAACAAAAACAACAGAAAGAAGCTAGCGGCACTGATTTGGGATAGGTTCGCGCAACACAAGTGCACCAGAGCCCCCACTGCAGTATTTTGTGCCATGGGTGATTGTTCTTATGCAATTGGGCACCCTAGCCAATCCACTCTTGACCATGATTTACCAAGCCAACTTCACCCCTCTCCCTCTCAGTTACCAGCAGCAACCTCCACATTGGGAAAACAGGTGAGCAGCGTCTCCTCACCCGGCTCTGCCTCAGTGGCTGCTACTGCCCATGGGGGAACTCAGAATCCAGCCTATCAGCTGGCTCCTCTTTCCCAGCCCTAGTTTAAAGGATGACCCTTCCCCTGTTCCACCTCTTTGCCCCTTGCATACCAGGACGGGCTGCCTCCTGAATTGTCATGCCACAGCCGGATGCTCTGCAGTTCCCCGAGAGGAAACAGGGTACACAGTAGGAAGACATCCACTCCTCCTCGCTCAAAGATTGGCATGTCGGGGTCCACCAGGTGGTGTGGCTCACTCTCCCCTTCCTGGCCGTACAAGGTCAGAGTCACCTGGAATAGCAATTGTTCATGCTTTTACTGTACTTGCATGCCACCCAATCCTGAGCTGTGAATAGGTGTCTGAATGGAGCAAATGCAGGTGTGCGTGAACACGACCAGGGGCTGTCTCACTATTTACTGATTTATGATTTGCACTTATAGCCTCCAGGGTTTCAGGCATGAGCTACAGCTCCTTACTCGTGTGCAACAATGCCCAGGACCCCATTGGTACCTTGGAGGTTGTAGCTGAGCCTCGACGGTGTCCGGTAAAAACAGTCACCAGGTAGCGATACTGAGCAAAGGGGTCGTTGTCCTCCAAAACCGTTATCTTCACCTGGAGATTTTATGGCAGCATCAGCAAAGACATGCAAATGACGAATGAAAATATGTAATGTAGGGAAGAGGAGAATGATTACTAGATCTGAATCTAAGACGTACCTGGAAATAGGACCAGGTGTTGTTGTTTTTTGCTGAGGGATTCCCCACCCCACCCCATAATTATTTACACCTCGAAGGAAACACATAGGGTCTTCAAATGGAATGCTGATTACCTCTTCCTCTTTGCACCATCTCAAAAATACATATTTTTAAAATATTTCTTAACTACCCTTCTTCGAGAGATTTCAGGGCAGTTTAAAGAAGTATGAAAACAAGTCATATACAAAGGCACAGCTCTATGTAACAACTACAAAAACGTGCCGAAAGGCACAAGACTGTAACATCAACGTATTAATGAGAGGAAGTTTACGATCAAGTAGACAAAAGTCTATTACAATTGCAAAGTGTACATTTCAGCAAGGATGACAAAGAGCCGCACAGTGGAAAAATATTTATTATTGTACAGTTGTACCTTGGTTCTGGAACGCCTTGTGACTCCCGAACACCACAAACCCGGAAGTGAGTGTTTTGGTTTGCGAATGTTTTTTGGAAGCCGATTGTCCAACACGGCTGACGTGGCTTCCAATTGAGTGCAGGAAGCTCCTGCTGCCAATGGGAAGCCACGCTTTGGTTTCCGAACATTTTTGGAAGTCGAATGGACTTCTGGAATGGACTCCGAGAACCAAGGTACCCCTGTATTGAAGAATGCTCAGTTGAAGAATGCTCTAAGCAACCAACAGCTTCCAGATAAAAGTTCTAGCTGAGAACAAGACTTACTTTGGCATCATCTTGGATGTCTTTTCTTCTGGCCCAGATCAGAACCAGCAGGTACACGAGGAAGATGCTGCCCACAGTTGTCACCACCACAGGGTTGTCCACAAAGGTGGCAAACAACTCCACCGTTCTGCTGACGTCGATGGAGTTTGGCATCACAAAGAAAGAGCTCCCAAAGAATGTCAGGTGGTTACAGAGACACTGAGTGCCATTGGGGTTTGTTTTGGGGCCAACCTGCAAGCCAAGGAATAGTTGTCTTTATGACTACCTATCTATCCCTACATTCCTATAAGAATCCAAAATTACCCACTCACAAGCTTGTGACTTTGTGCAAACCTTGTGAGTAGATTTTTTTTCCTTACAGGAACGGAGGAAGCTGCCTTATCCTGAGCCAGACTATTGTTCTGTCTAGCTCAGTACAGCCTACTCTGACTGGCAGTGGTTCTTCAATGTTCCAGGCAGAAGCCTCCCTCTGCCCTACCTGGAGATGCCAGGGACTGAACCTGGGACCTTCTGCATGCTAGGCTGGTGCTCTACCACTAAGCTGTGATCCTCCCCCAAATTTCATTACTCGGGATGCCCCTCCACTGCATTATATTCTGTCTACTCACGTGGCATCCATAGCTGTTCCAGTTCCCTTGGTGCTCATCCCAGAATACACATTGGGAGACAAAGCAAGTGACAGAAACATTTATGTCATGGGTGGCCATGGACTCCAGTTCTGTTTCTGGTCTCACAATGAAATAGTAGGTCCCTTCTCCAAAAATAAGGTCTTCCGGGTGAAGGATCCAAGAATATACAACATCTGGAACAGATGTGGATGAACTGAAGTCTAGGGAAGTATGATCAGATTAAGCAATGCTTATTGCTTTATTTATAACATTTTTACGTGGTTATAACGTGGCTTTGAAACATTAACAAGAGACCACAAAGGTTTTATAAGTCATGATTAAAAGTCTACTAAAAAGATTAAAAGGTTGTTCTTAGTGGGAAAGGTTGTAACGTAAGAAAGGTTCCATGTACACAGTGCAAACCCCAAATGGACCAACAAGAGTATAGTGAAATAAAGAGGTTAAATGCACCCAGCTTTCCCTCAGACTAAACAGTCTCTCAACATAACATTCTCTCTAAAGATTCTTGCATTAGAGTTGCAGCTCCTCCTCCTTTTTTGGAGTGCTGTCTTCCTTGTCATCGGACACTCACTTTGATCTGCCTTTCTTTCATCTGGTACCCTCAGGCTACCCAAGCCCCTTAAAGCCCAAGCCACAAAGCACTTGCAAACATTGCCTACAGTTTGTGTCTTTCTCAATGGTTTTACCACCTTCCAATTGGTTTCCCAAGTAAGGTTTTATAAACAAACCCCTTAATTCTCAAACTAACCTGCATGAAAGATTTGTAGTTTTTACACAGGCTTACATCACCCTTCGGTTGATGAGCAAGCAACCAGACCTCTATCAGAGTGTTTATTTTTACCTCTTGAATTTCTGTTGAGAGGAAGGCGTGTCATCAATTCATAGTCAGTCTCGTTGGGGTGATAGCCATATCCCAAATATAGGATAAGTGGAATGTCTTGGTCCAGCTGTAGATGGATCACTAGAGATGCATTTACTGAAGTCACATTGACTTGCAGAGCATTGAAGTTTCCCAGATTCAACACATTCAGGTCATTGTCAGTTGCTGAATTCCTTGGCAGCATTATCTGCGTTTAATGTCAACAGTTCAATTCTGGAAATGCCCCCAAACCCTGATAAATTTTTAAAAACCTATGCTGTCATCAAGCAGGGAGACCCAGACTGAAGTATAAATGCAAGTGTGTGTGTGTGTGTTTGTATATTACATTTCTACCCCACCTTCTTTCTATGGAACTCCAGATGTCTTTAATGGGGTTTCCCCTTCCCAGGCAGTCTCAAGCCAAGCACTGCCCAAATTCAGACTTGTTTGGCTTCAGCAAGGTGCCTGCATCAATACCTTAAGACAGAACTTTCCAAACCGTGTGTTGCGACACATTAGTATCTTGGCTGCAGTGTGCAGGTGTGCCATGCAAATGTTCCCCACTCTCCTCCCAGGGCTGGAAACAGGTCAATTTAACCTCCGATTTCCTAGTAAAACTGAATTACTAAGAAGTACTGAATGTCTAAGAAGTGTGCCACCAACATGAAAAGTTTGAAAGCTCTGCTTAAGACCATGTCTTGGATGCTATGGTTAACCTGTGGCCATCCAGATGGTGCTAGACTACAACTCCCATCACCCTGACCATAGGCCAGGGGTGGCGAACTGTGGTTTGTGCTGCTTGTACTAAGTCCTGCTTTGTGTAGACCCATTTAAATTAATAGATCTTAGTTAATAATGTCCACCAATTTCCATGGCTTTACTATAAGTAAGACTAATGTTGGATCCAAGCCTGGATGTGCTTGGTGGGCTGGGCTTCTCCCCTCATCACAATACGGTTGGCAATGATGAATGAACGAAGTGGCCTGTTTTTAGAAAAGCACATGGTCCTGCCCTTCAGAAATGCACACAAGGAAAATTACCTCAATGTCTTCTGTAAGGTTCTTAACTGGAATAACCAGCCCATCTAGGCTGGTGAGGGAGAGGCCTCCCACAGCACCATGGATATCAAAGCTGTCACTTGTGGAAAAGGGGTTCACAGACAAGCTCACCATCTACAGGAAGAGATTTTTAAGCACCAAAAAGGTTTGATCATAGAACTGTAGAGTTGGAAGGGACCTCACAACCCCCCACAATGCAGATGACCATCCAATCTATGTTTAAAAACCTCCAATGTACTACCACTGCAACAACTTCTGCTTCTGCCTCTAACTTGCTAGTTGCTTGTTACACAGATGTCTCCAAGCAACTTCCAGCATTTTTATAAGTATAAGTAAAATACAATATCAACACATTCATACAAAACCAGATGAAATCCCTACAAAATACAAATGCATAAAAATTCTTCTGCTGCTGATCTACTTCTTTTCTGCCTCTCAAAGGACCTGAACTTTTTCTTTAGTATTCTTTTTCTGTACTTAGCCTTGTAAAATGTACTTCCTATTTCTGTTTGTTCTAGTTCCCTACACCTTTCCACCACCCCTTTTCCACCCTTTATGGGGCAGGTGGGGAACAGGTGGGTCAGTTTCTATAGTCCCATTGTTTATATTGTTATTAAAGCCAATAAAAGCCTTAATAAGAAAGGAAGAAAATGAATTCCCAGAGCAAGCTAAAGCGCAATAAAACCGGGACACTTGCCCTGATGTCCACTGTCTCGTCTCTGTCTCCTGAGATGCTGAGAGAAGAGGCAGAGGGCAGAGTGAAGCTGGCAGAGCTGGAGTCAGAGATATGAATGGATGTGCTGTCTGCGCTGTCCGTCTGCAACCTTTACAGAGAAAGAGCAGAAAAAAGTCAGAAAAGATGGAAGCAAAGAAGACAAAATCACAGAAGTAGGAACCAAAACATAGGAAGTTGCTTTATACCAAGTCAGACCATTGGTTCATCTAGCTCAGTATTGTCTACGCTGACTGGCAGTGGCTCTCCAGGGTTTCAGGCAGGTTTCTCTCAGCCCTACCTAGAGATGCTGGGGATTGGATTCTGCACACAATGCAGAAAGCATAGGAGGCTGCCTTAAACCAAGTCAGACTATTGCTCCATCTAGCTCTATATCGCAGGTGGGCAACCTTTCTGAGCCTGAGGGCTACAATCCCTTCTAGGTAACCTTGTTTGACTCCGATCTTTCAACTGACTTACAAATGAAACACTCCCCACTGGAAAATCCAAAGTCATTTTTTGTTGTTAGGGTTGTTGCCTTGCCACATAGTTAATGGGATACTGGTTGCTGCAGTTATGCTACATTTTTCCTGGAGGGTGATGAAAAAGCAGTATAGCAAAATCTGTTTACCGGTTGATGTACATAGCTGCAGAGGGGGCTGTGAGCACCATGGGTTCATTGTCAGGCAACTTCCCAATCAAGAGAGCACTCTGGAGGTTTTCAATGGTGTTTAGAAGCTGCAGTGACACCATACTCTATGACAGAAGAAAGAAACCACACTCTGAACCTTCTTCCTTTGATGGTTTCCCAGCAGGTGCCTCCCACCATTCCTCTGTGTGTCCAGCCAGTCCATGACACCCTTCCATAGCCACAATATGCTATATATACGGTACTTTTGCATGCTATAGCTCTTTGACCTTTCATAGTTATGCACCCACCTGTGTAGTCTCTGGTCCAGCAGTATCCTCTGTCCCATTCTGCACAGCAGCTTCAAGGACGTTGCTCACTGCATTGAACAGATAGCTGGCAGCCTCCTTGCGCTTCAGGTCATCTTCACCATCTTCAGCATTCACAATCAGCAAGGATTCACTGACATCCTTCAAAGTATTACCGGCTTCTACCTGAATGAGAAAAGAGGCATCTAAGTGGACATAGCTCTCCAGGCTAAAGAGAACAAACTAGCAGGTGTTTCATAGCTCCCTTCTTCCCAAATTCAGGTGATAAGCAAATGACAGGGCAGCACCTCTCACAAACCCACTGTAGATTGGTGAGGGCCCTCTGCCAGGGGGTACTCGACACACACACGTTCTGCTTCCATCCAATGAAACTGAACATTGGGAGAGTCAGGACCCACAGCTATGGAATCTGTTCCCAACAAAAGGCTGTGATGATGGACACCTATTTGAATGCTTTTAAAATTTGAATGGTTTTAAAATGGGGTGAGCTCCCATTGCTCGGTCCCTGCTCCTGTTAACCTAGCAGTTCAAAAGCACATCAAAGTGCAAGTAGATAAATAGGTACCGCTCTGGTGGGAAGGTAAACGTCGTTTCCATGTGCTGCTCTGGTTCGCCAGAAGCAGATTAGTCATGCTGGCCACATGACCTGGAAGCTGTACGCCGGCTCCCTCAGCCAGTAAAGAGAGATGAGTGCCGCAACCCCAGAGTTGTCAGCGACTGGACCTAATGGTCAGGGGTCCCTTTACTTTACTAAAAGAGGACTAGACAAATTCATAGAGGATAAGGCTATCAAGGGCTACTAGGCATGGTGGCTATGTTCTACCTCCACTGTTGGAGGCAGTATATTACTGATAATACTAGTTGCTGAGAATCACAGGTGGGGAGAGGGCCATTGGCTCCTGGTTAGCCAATATGAGAACAGGATTTTGGACTAGGAAGACCTTTGGCCTGACCCAGAAAGGCTCTTCTTATGTTTGGTACAAGGTGAAGGGTTCCATCAGTCACAGGTGAGTTCCTTTTCCTCTTTGAAATTTCTGTCCCAACTCCAATTATCTAAGGGCACCAAAGAGGTGACCGACAGTTTTATAAGTACTGCCTTCCTCTAAGAATTAATCATAGAATAGTTCCTTCAATCCCCCCCCACTTTCAACCCCCCCTTACCAGTCTGTTAAAAGCACCCCTACTCTCAGATTCTCACATTGTCAATACATCTGTTGCCTCTTTGCCTGAACCACACGCAGTTATGAAGAAATGCACATCGCCCAGCCACTCACCTGCGCAGAGGAAGAGAGCTCTTCACTCCTGTAAGTGATTTCCTTGAGCACCTCTGACATCTTAAGAGCCGTCTGCATTGATGTTACATTTACAGCAGAGAGGGTTGTCAGCATCAGCTCTCGCAGCTGGGGATGCAAAGACAGATCATTAGAGACCATATAAATACTGGTTATTGATGGTCTTGTTTCTAATAGACCCACCCCTGGCAGAACAGGATCAACTAGTACAGAAGTTGCCAACCTTTCTAGGTCCATGGGCACATCTGGATTTTTGAGTGAGTGCCATGGGTACCATCCACTCTGATCACTTCCCTCTATCTCCCCCTGGATCATCCCCCCACCCCAATACACAAAAAGAGGAAGTGCAGAGACACATTTCACATTTCCATGTGATCTGACTAAATCATCAGATCCAGTAGAATTAACCTGAACCTTGAAAAGCACATCGTGGGGAAATCAGGAAGTGGCAAAGGATGTCCCTTCCAGCTTCCTCCTCTATGTACTTTTCAAGCAAGAAAATGCTAATCACCTTTGCCACTCCAGAATCAGGTGGACAGTGAAATTGGGGGCTCAGAGTTTCACAGGCACCAGACAAAGACCTGCATCTAGAGGCTGCGCATTGGTGACCCTGTGATTTGCAACATGCTACTGAATATCATAGGGTGGTGACTCCAAAATGGGCATTTTCAGCTGTTGCCCTTGTTCTGTGGAATGTCTGTCCCTCAGCCATACATAAAGCATCTCCTCCTTCAGATGTCTTACAAAGACTTATCTTTTTGCGCAGCCTTTCCCTGTTTGCCATAAGATAGGATCCTGATTTTTGTGTATGAATCTCCTAAATCTGTTTTTAAATGCTTTTATATTTTTATATCTTTCTATTGATTTTAGCCTATATTTTTGTTTTAATGGATATTGTTTTTATATTGTACATAGTGTACACAGCTTCGAGATTTTTAAGTGGTTCAGAAATGCTTTTAAATAAAAATATACATATAGAATTTCCGGCTCCCAATGGTTTAACAATAGCAACAACCAAAAGTCTTTCTCTCCCATGCCCTTCACTTCCTCATTTGGGCTGCCGAAATCAAGAATGCTTGAGAAAGCAGGAATAGATTTGTGGGTAAAATAATCAGGATGTGAGCCATTTTCTGCTACCGAAAACAAATTCCTGAGCTCTGCATGTGCTCAGAGGCATCTTGCCTTGCAATTCTGTGTGTACCTTCTTGAGCCAATATTTTGCACGACTTCAGTTGGGGACCTCAGAGTCCCAATGGGAAAAAGTAGACCCTCACCAAGCTTAAAGTCTGCCCATCCGTAATGTAAATTATAGGGTGGGAAGTGGGTTTTATGTCTAATCTGAGTTGACATCCACTCTAATTGCAAATTGCCAGTTTACCTTCCAGTTGACTATATAAATACAGTGGTACCTCGGGTTACAGATGCTTCAGGTTGCAGACACTTCAGGTTACAGACTCCACTAACCCAGAAATAGTACCTCGGGTTAAGAACTTTGCTTCAGGATGAGAACAAAAATCGTGCTCCAGCAGCGCAGCGGCAGCAGGAGGCCCGATTAGCTAAAGTGGTGCTTCAGGTTAAGAACAGTTTCAGGTTAAGAATGGCTCTCCAGAACAAATTAAGTTCTTAACCCGAGGTACCACTGTAGAGGAATATATTAACTCCATGAGAGTGAAGGGAATTTATGAATGAGAGTTCCTAGTGAGATGAACATGTAGCCTTTTTAAGCATAAGTACCAGCTTCCCCGTGACTTTCAAAATGATCATTATTAATGACAATTAAACAATTCTTTACACTTCTCTGGCTTCTTTTATTTGCACATCTAGAGGCATTTTGGCAGCGCCAGATAGGATTTGGATCCCCAAAGCACTAAAATAATACAAACCCTATTTGTGACAATTGGCTTCCAAACCCAAGCAATGCTTCAGGAACTGGGGAACAGGGCCATATCTGAGGGATATCCTGCTTAATAGCAAAGGACACATTAACCAGATGAGTTGTAATTTCATTATTTCACACAAGATTACTGCAATGGTGTGTATGCAGGGACAACTTTGGAAATAGACCCCAAGCTTTATTCCACCTGCTGTAGTTATCTATTTGTTTCCAGGATTAACATAAAGTGTGAGCGTTGGCTTTAAAACTGAACAGCTTAGGGCCAGGTTGCCTTTCAGAAACTGCCTGCTCCTTCATGAGCCTACCAGGCCTTGGAGACCTTGCTCTCTGTAGTGCCTATATACGAGATCCTGTGTGCAGGCAAGAGAGAAGGAGCCTTCTCAGTGCTGGGGCTGGGATTGTGGGGCTGGTGGAGATTTACTGGACTCCATGTTCCCATCGTTTAATGGGACGTGGGTGGCGCTGTGGGTTAAACCACAGAGCCTAGGACTTGCCGATCAGAAGATCGGCGGTTCGAATCCCTGCGACGGGGTGAGCTCCCGTTGCTCGGTCCCTGCTCCTGCCAACCTAGCAGTCCGAAAGCACGTCAAAGTGCAAGTAGATAAATAGGTACCGCTCTGGCGGGAAGGTAAACGATGTTTCCGTGCGCTGCTCTGGTTCGCCAGAAGTGGCTTAGTCATGCTGGCCACATGACCCGGAAGCTGTACGCCGGCTCCCTCAGCCAATAAAGCGAGATGAGCGCCGCAACCCCAGAGTCATCCGTGACTGGACCTAATGGTCAGGGGTCCCTTTACCTTTACCTTTAAAGCTCTTTTTATTCCAGCTAGCTTTTAATTAATGGCCCACTGGGGTTTTTTAATTTATATGCATTTATAAAAGTAATTATGTATCGCCCTCTCATAAAATATCAGGGCAGTGTACAACAATACGTACACCATTAAAAACAACAAAGGAATCATTAAAATAACTGGCTGGTGAAAAGGTTGTAAACAGCTAAAACAATTATTTCTTTCCTAAAAGGTAAAGGTAAAGGTACCCCTGCCCGTACGGGCCAGTCGTGTCCGACTCTAGGGTTGTGCGCCCATCTCACTTAAGAGGCCGGGGGCCAGCGCTGTCCGGAGACACTTCCGGGTCACGTGGCCAGTGTGACGAAGCTGCTCTGGCGAGCCGGCACCAGCGCAGCACATGGAAACGCCATTTACCTTCCCACTATAAAACAGTACCTATTTATCTACTTGCACTTAGGAGTGCTTTCGAACTGCTAGGTGGGCAGGAGCTGGGACCAAAAGACAGGAGCTCACCCCGCCGCGGGGATTCGAACCGCTGACCATGCGATTTTTACCCACAGCGCCACCCGCGTCTATTTCTTTCCTACCCAACTCTTAATGCTGTTAGCTGAGTGGGGGTTTACATAGGGGTCACTACCATTGGGCAAAATGCGCTGATGTCACACAGGGTGTGGGCAACCTTATGCCCCCACAGCTGAGAGGTAGGGGAAGCACCTGTGGTCTGCCCAGATCAAGCAATGACACCAGAAGATATTGATTCTACATTCCATGAGTACCTTGTAGTAGCTAAACTATACAAATGCTGCTTACACACCAAAGGCTCCTGAGTAAAAATGGTTGCAGGAGGCAGTATGTGCAGCTAACCTCTTTCCGTGTATCTGTCCGCAGAGATGAATTAACACTCTCTTCTTTTGTTTCTAGATTAAGGACAGAAGACACTGACTTGTACAGCTGGAACAGGGTCATGCTGTTGTTCTCGCCTTTGAGGATGGTGTTCGATTTTTCTGAAATAATGGCTTGCAAGGTCTGGTTTCCGCTGCTTATGTCCTGATGTTGAACCTGATAAAGCAAGGGGGAAATGCACACAGTTGTTCATTCCATAACCACCAAGGACATTCTTGCTGCTGAATGCCAGACTAGATGTGTTGTTATTCTTAGTCTTAGTCCCCTCCTCTTAGCCCTTGTGTGGCTAGAAAACAAACAGCAGATGCAGATGCTCAAGGCTGAGGTCAGGACCATGACATACAGCAGAAGGCTTTAAGCTTTTCATCTCATTATAGTCCTGATCCAAATCAGTTCTCTGACACCTACAGTTCTCAATGAGAAGAAAGTTTTCAGATAGGGGCTTAATATTGTAAATGGGTTGTTGACAGCATGTTTCTATAATAGAGGAGATACAGTAGGTCGAATTTTCTTTTCTGAGAAAAACCCACCTGCTGTGTCACCTCTACTTTCTTTACTTTTCTTTTCATCCCACCATCAAAATTGGTAGGAAATTAGGAGGGATATTAGGTGGGATATTGGGGATATTAGGGGGGAATGTTCAGGAGGACCAGATCAAGCCCCTGAATTGTGTGGGTTCATCACCCCATCTGTTCTGTGGCAGAGCCTTCCTGGGGAGAAAAGACAACCACTTACTAGGCTGCACTTTCTGGAAACAATTGAAGACAGTTTTGTTTTGACAAGATATTGCAGCTGGATAAATGGTTGCAGGACCAATAGTCGTTCTCCCCAGTCCTCTACCCCCAGAGAAATGAAAGACAATTGAGACTGGTTATGGACTGAAACAGTCCACAACTTTATTGAATACAGATGAGAGAGGTTTGGCTTGGGCATGGGGCAAGTAAATACTTCCAGCCTGCCTGCCAGAAGTGACGCAATGGTCAATCCACACAGGGGTTCCTAAGACTTACATCAAATAGGGACTGCTGTCTGGGGGAGAGCCAATGGTCCTAGGCTCCGGCTGGGCATGCGGACATGGCCACTCCACCCAGATCCCTTTAACAGGATGTCCAGCATTTGGAGGGGCAGGCAGAGACTACAACCTCCCCTCCATCCCAGATTGATATTGTCCCAATGCCCAACCAAGTTGTGACAATTGCTATGAGGTAGGCAAAACCAACAGGCTGGTGACAATTTGCCTGGTGGACAAATTCCTACCCGGCCCCAGAATACAGCGACCATCTTAGCCACCCTCTCCTCCCATCAGGACAGGAAGCCAATCCTGGGATTTCTTGGGGGAGACTCTACCGTCCAGCAACATCACGAGGGTGAGCGGACTTCTTTGCCTTGAGTGTCTATTTTGTACGGCCTCAGTTTTGTTTTAAATGTATTTACTCGTGTGTGTGTGTGTGTGTGTGTGTGTGTTTAACTGTGTTTATTGAACATCACCTTAAGACGGCTGTATAGAATGTGATGATAATAATATAGATAGCAAAGGCACAGACAGCAAAAGCCAGTGAAGTCACACCTACCCTGGCAGTGGCATTGGTATAAACGGTGTCACCATAGATGTTGCTCACACCAATTTTAATCCATAAAAGAAAGTTATCGTCTGCTTCTCCAAGTGGAAGGTAAACTGAGGGTAGGACAGGCTCTTGTCCGCAGTGTAGAAGAGAATCTGGAGGAGGGAGGGAGACTGGTTCAGGTGACAGAGTAGGAAACCAATTTTTCCATGACCCAGTTTGAAAGCAGCAGCAGGGCATTTCTTGATCCGTGTTAGACTTGGATTGCAATGGCCAGATGCACATTTATTTGTCATTTGTCATTTTCTATTTATAGCCAGTGGTTCTAACACAGGGTGGGGTGGGAAGCCTGTGGCCTTACTGTTGTTGCTAGACTACAATGCCCTACAACTGAGTAGGGAGGGGCAAATTTCTCAGTTTCGGTTTCTCATTTTTCCAGTCTTAAGTTCAGTTCCCCACACTTCCACATCAGCTTGTGATTTATTTTTTAAAGTCACCATGAAAATTCATTTTAGTGTGAATTTCTCCAAATACACACATTTCTTATGCAATTTTGCAAAACAATTGCCCCGATACGACCCATTTCTGAATGTTATTTTCACCTCTACACACTTTAGTAGTAGCTACTACAAGCTACTTGTGGACTGTAGAACCTGAACACTTAGCATGTCCTTTCCTAGGACACACTTCCCCTGGCCCTGCTCTGCACCCTCTAGGATACTTTTGCCAGGCAGGGATGTGTCATTGAATTGTGAATGTTTATTTTATTGTATATTATTTATTTATTTCAGTTATTTATATCTATTTTAATGCCTCTTGATTACCTGGATGGATGCCCAGAATGTGCCTTTTACTGGAATTTAACCTACTGTATAAAAGTAAGAAGCACCCTTTTCGCTACACCACTTCTGCCTCTATCCCCACTAAACACTGGCATGCCATCCCTATGAGAGAATTCAGCTACAGAAGTGCCTTCAGTTAGAACATGTGGACCAGAACCAACCTTAGACAAACAGTGAATGCAAGCAGCCACCTCTGACTCTTACTTGTCTGCAGGTAGAAGCAGTATGTGAGTGAGGAGCTGTCAGCTGGAAGGCACTGATCCACCAGACAGGGAGAGTGGCAGGAGATGGAGAAGCTGGTGAGCACTGATCCTTGAGCAGGAGATACAGTACATACTGGGGCTACAGGTGGAGGCACAGTGCTCACAGTATAGGTGTCTTCACCATATTTGTCCTCACTCATAGCTGGCAAATTTAGAAAGAAAACAATTCAAAGGTGAGTTTGCTGTGGTTTGTATACTATTGAGATATAAAAGGAGCACTTGGCTTTTTGGATTACTACTACTTATACATTTTGCTGCACTGCAGCAACACCTGTGTGGTCATGCAGTGGCCATGCTTCACCCTGCCTCCCCTCCCCCCAAACCAATCACACCTTAGTGGTAGCATTTATATACAGGCTCCCATTCATGTCAGCTAGCAGCCATTTCAGAACCCCCAAAATGCATTACCTGGCAATGCCTAGACAACCCCCAGCAGCCATTCCAAATGTTCCCACAGGTCCGAAAAAGCCCTGAAGAGTTTGTTTCAATGCCCATTGTAGGTTTCATCCTGCAGGGCTTTGAAATAGCGGTATTTGCCATTCTTTGTGCCAGGAAGAACACTGAACTGCACATTTGTTGTTGTTGTTATAATGCTGTTAAATAATATGCTAATATTCTTGGATGTCTTGGAAACTTAAATTGGTTAAAAATGTAGCGGCTGTACTACTGGCTGGGGTTCTGTTTAGTTCTTGCATAATCCCTGTTTTAAAACGGCTGCTTTGGTTGCCGGTTCATTTCCAGGCTCAATTCAATGTATTAACAGGTTTAAGGTTAAAACCTTAAATGATTCAGGGCCTCAAAACCTGAAAGACCACTTCCTTCCCTACAGGTTGGCAGAGGAGACCTTCTTGGTTGTTCTACCACCCTCAGAAGTTCAGTGGGTAGGGCATTCTTTGTGGCGGCCCCTAAATTGTGGAACTCCCTCCCCAGAATGCTGAAGCACACCTCTTTTCTCTTGTTTTTGACACCTGAGGTGTACCCACCTTATTTCTGTGATTTCTGTGTTTTGAACTGTTTTTAACATTGTCTTTCAATTGTTTTAAACTGCCCTGGGGCCTTTGAGTGAAGGGCAGGTAATTAACAGTAATAAAAATAATACTCAGTAGTGCTTAGAGCAGCTTACAGGTAGAAACAACGCTTGATAGCATGCAGTATTAAAACTACCAGTTGGAAGCAAACAATTACTACTAAAGCCATAGTAAATGCAGATTATCCAAATTCTGGCTCTCCCACCTGTTACTTTAATTCGAAAAGCTTCTCCCTGGGTTTGCAAGAAGGAGCTGTTCAGCACCAACATTGGTGTGCCACTCTGAAGCAAAGTGAGGGAGCTTTGTGGGAAAGCATTCAAGGTACAGCTTGGTGGAAGAGGATTGGGCTGGTGAGGGGAATGAACCGCAAGGGAAAGAGAGAGAGAAAGCAGAAGAAACACGGATTAAAACATGGACCTGTGGTCACCTTTCTGCTATGTCTAGCAAAGAGACTGTTCTCAAGGTCTTCACCTAGTTCTCAAACAGCTGCGTTAATATCTCCCCTGTCCCTTTCAAAAGGATAACCAGCTTTTAATAGTCTTGCCTTCTATCTCTAAGGGTGCATCCAGACTGCGGTTGATTTCAGGTCCTCTAGCCTCCTCACAGAGAAATCAAAATTTGATTTTTAAATGTTTTATTAAATAGATATCCTACCCGGGGCAGCAAACCCATCAATGATGCAGTATTTTAAAAAAATATTTATGTAAAACATTTTAAAACAACTGAAAACATGTAAAAACAAAAATCACAATAAAAACATAAAATAAATTTAAAAACAGATGTAACTATATCATGTGTCTGGATAGGCCTGCTGAAAGATAAAATTGGTCATGAAATAGCCAATGTCATCTAATCTCCCTGCAAACAAATCAAGATAAACCCTCAATAAGCAGGTTGTCTGCTGCTGGCTGTTTAGTGAACATCCTTCTGATTTGTTTGTGGGAAGGTTAAATGATGTTATGTCAAAGCAAGTGTCATCTCACACACAGGATGGATCTGTCCATTTCTGTTCTCTCAGTTTTTCATTTTTAACAGTCTTAAAATCTGTTCCCCACATTTCTGTAGCCATTTGTAGATTTCTTTGTAAATAATTCTCACGAAAATTCATTAGTGTTTCAATGCAAATTTCTTCAAACAAACACATTTTTAATGAAGTTTTGCAAGTAATTTTTCCTAATATATTGAGTTTTTGTAAACATGGTTTTGTTGGGGAACTGCATCATAACATTCAAATATGTATATATTTTGAAAAATGCCTGTGTTTTGTTTTTCACATTGTTTCAGAAAGTGCAAATTTCATTGATTCAACTTTTGTGTGTGTACAGAATTTCTGACATGGGCAACAGGCTCACCTTTCTGTGGAACGTATAATCTAAGTACCACTTGTACAGAGTAGCCTTGGAGTCTGTCCCCACGGATGCTAGGAGCGTCATGTCTTCAGTAACATTCACTGGTTTGCAGTTCATTTTGCAGCTAGGAAGAAGGCAGGACCTGCAGTTAGCAAGCTCAAGGAACAAGCTAAGGGGAGCAAACTGTGCTTGCCTACCAAATGAGCTCTGTGCTTTTGGGTGGAATGATATAATCAATGCTGTGCATCTGTGATACTCAAAACTGGGATTCTTGAACATCTTCCTGTTGAACAGATCTACTGTTGCCTAGTTGGCTTCCCCAAGCACACCCTGTCAGGGTAGCATCTTGCCATCCTTCACCCTCTCCATGCATCTAAGAAAAGAGCCTGGCTGCTGGATCAGGCCAGTGGCCCATCTAGTCCAGCATCCTGTTCTCCTGGGGGTCAGCCTGATGCCCTAATGGGAAGCCTGCAAGTAGGACCTGAGCACAATGGCACTCTAGTCATTTAAGATTCCCAGCAAGTGGAATTCAGGAGCAAACTGCCTCTGACAGCTTCTGTATGAGGCTTTCACCTGACACTGTCAGAACCTCAGAGCGCAAGGAAATAAATAAAGTGCAGCACACCTGATCTGCAGGCTCAGATCCTGCTTTGCTGTAATGTAGAGGCATTGCTCATCCTGTTTTTCTTCTTTCTCTGGGCTTTTGACTATAACTTTCATGGTCACTGCAGAGCTGGGAGGAGGTAAGCAAGCCGGTGGGATCCGGATCTCTCTTTGGTCTGTGAGGATGGAATGCTCTTGCACACATTGGTCCCATTCAGGCCAGCAGTAACCTTCAAAGGCAATTTTCAGCTGAATCATTTGAGAGAACCCAGCACCCAGTGTTGTATTTTTCTATTGGACACTTTAGCCCTGTATATGCATTTTTGTACACATTGTGTGGCTGGAGAACTGTGCTGCAAAATCAGAGGTGTCAGAATGTCAAAGGGTGGCTGTGTGAATGTGTGAATTAGGTAGGTTCACCTTTAAATGTGAACTGAATCAAACGGATCTCCCAGCCCTAAACTCGGATAAACAAACCAAACACATCAGCTCACTTAGAACATGAGGGCGCTTTCATATACTTTTGAATGGAGAGTTCTGGTCACAATTGTAAAGGGGAGAAGGCAGTGAAACACAACATACATACCACAAGACCAGGTGTAGGTAGAATTAGTGCTGTCATCAGGCCAGCCAAGAATGATTGTTGTGAAGAGGCTGGCATGGCGGCTGGGCTTAATGTAGATCTTGTTTTTCCCTTTGTCATCCTAAACCAGAAATGATGAAGAAAAGTAATTGTCAGAGCAGTTGCATCTTCCATGTGCAAGCAGACACAGAAAAGAGGTAACCAGAATGAACAAGGGGTTGGAGCAACTCCCCTGTGAGGAAAGCCCCCACAATATCTGGGACTTTTTAGTTGGGGGGGGGGAGAGTAAAAAATGGCATGATAAACATGCACAAAATTATGCTTGGTGTGAATAAGATGGAGGATACCGTAATCTGGGGCTATCCTGTTAAACCGATTGGCATGGGATTCAGGACAGACAAAATGAAGTCCTCCTTCACTCAGCACATAGTTGAAGCATGGAATTTGCTCCCACAAGAAGTGATGGCCACCAACGTGGGTGCCTTTAAAAAGGGGGTTGGACAAGTTCCTGAAGGATAATTCTATCAGTGACTACTAGCCAAGATGGCTGTATGTTACCACCACTGTTGGAGGTAGCCTGCCTCTGAATTCCAGCTGCTGTTTGTGAGCTTTCCAGAGGCAGCTGGTTGCCCACTGTGGGAATAGGAAGCTGGGCTAGATGGTCTGATCCAGAAGGGTCTTATTCTTAGGTGTGTTATGCTTTGGGACAGGTTTTCCTTGGTTTAAGTACCTCTTGCCTCCTTGATATCTGATGAGAACATTCCCTTTTTAACATCTTGTCATGATATAAGCCATTACCAGTCCCACATTCCAGACAGGGAATGAAGGCTGGAAGAATGGACATTCCCAAGGCTCCACAGAGACTTCATAGACATGCAGGAATTTTTTAGGCATATATTTTCTTTTATTAACTGGTTTTGTTGGTTGGCTGGTTTTGTCTTTGATGCCACCCTAATAGTTTTGCTGAAGCACAGCCAAACATAAAACGTAGGCTTCCGTACTAACTCCACTTACTTGGGAGTAAGTCCCATTGAGTTCAGAAGGACTTACCTCAGAGTAAGCATAGTTAGGATTGTAGCCTCAATAAATACAGTGGCTTATACCCAGCATTGGTCCTACTCCAAGTAGACCCACTGAAATTAATGGACATGACTAACTTAGGTTTATTCATGTCACTGGATCTACTCTGAATACAACTTACTTGGCTACAACCCAACAACAGCGCAATCAAATGCATGCTTTCTTAGAAGTAAGTCCCACTGTGTTCAATGGGGATTACCCTCAGGCAAGAGGGCATAAGGTATCAGCTTGAATAAATCCAGTGTCTTAACCAAGAAGAAAGAAAAGCCGTTCATTAATCCCTGTCAAATATTTTCAAAAGGATTTTTTCCGTTATTTTCATTCTTTCTTTTAATAGATACTCACAACTCTTTTTTCACCATTTACATTGGACTGTTCTTTGTCCTCAAGAGGATCTGTTGAACACAAAGCATAAATCAGAAGGCTTCAATAGCACCTGCAAATGCCATGCTGACCTTTTCTGTATAAATCAAGGTTATTTCTCCAGGTCTGTGTGAAAGTTACAGAGCAATTGGTAGAAATTGCTCCCCGAAGCATCACAGTGTATAAGGATTCAGTTTGTTCATGGGAAGGAGGGAGACAGATTTCATTTATCGGGGCCTCATGCTGCCTCATACTAAGCACCCAGCTATTCCATCTGGTCCCATGTCTCCATTATATGGAATCTATGCACAGCCCAATGCAGAGGGGGAGGGGCAACCCTTTTCAACCAGTGTGTTGAGGGTGGGCCCTACCATAAGGCTTGGGGTGGAAACCTTTTCCAGCCTGATGGCTACATTACCTTGTTAGGAACCTTCTGTGGAGTCTACACACTGATGTGATGTATGTGTGTGCAAGAGACGGGGGGGGAGGGGCAGAGAGAGAGAGAGAGAATGGGAACATTGGGAGTGTCAAATCAAACCAGAAGTGAAACCAGGGATGGTTCCACAGGGATATGTTACCAACTGCAGGAGTGCTTGTTTGTTTCCCTTGTCCTCTGATTACCGTACTTTTCCATGTATAAGACTAGGGATTTTTTACTTTAAATTAAGGTTAAAAATCTGGGGGCGTCTTATACACGGATAGTGCATATGCTCATTTTCTAAATTTGGGGTCCCCAAAAATAGGGGGTGTCTTATACACGGGGGCGTCTTATACACGGAAAAATACAGTATGTACAGTGGTACCTCGGTTTAAGGACAGTTTGGTTTAAGAACAATTTGGTTTACAAACTCCGCAAAACCGAAAATAGCATCTTGGTTTGAGAACTTTACCTCAGTATAAGAATGGAATCCGAACAGTGGAAGGGCACCGGCAGTGGGAGGCCTTATTAGGAAAAGTGCGCCTCGATTTAAGAATGGTTTTGGTTTAAGAAGTCTGTGGTGCCCTCTCATCAAAAGGATACCAAATCCTATAATGCTGTTCTTGTAACTTCTTACCACTTGGAAGTGGGAAGCACACAACAGTATGAATAAAATGCAAAGGAAAAGAAGACAGAAGTATACCGTAATTTAAAAAGTATGATTGCTCTTCATTTTATGAAGTCATCATTTGGCATAATCAAGAGCAAGAGCCTGCTATTACCTTCTTCGTGAGAACTGTTAGATGAGACGATTACAGTTCCTGCATCAGTGCTCATGTTCGAGAAAGCATTAATAGCAAACACTTTGACCTGGAAGGTACCTGGAAAGAAGACACGGGAAAAGGTAAATAAGGGCGAATAAGAAGCTGGGAACCAAAGATCCACAGAGCCAGGCAGATTAAGGGGTGAAACTTGTTAGGGCAGGTGCAAAGTCTATTGGTGCCAATCAGGGAAGTGTACCACCTTGTAAAAAGGGGGTGGGAACATGGATTCATGTGGCTTGATGGACAAAAAATGGAGCCAAAAATATTAGTACAAGACAAGTCCCTTTCACCCATGATTTTATAGCACTTTGAGTGAACAAGGTGCTTTAATTTATGTGATATCTATATCTGTTATTTATGAATGTATCAGCGTAGTCCTCTTGGCAATGCACAACAATTTAGTAAAAAAAAAAAGAATTAAAACACAAATCAAATATCCCAGTCCTTGGAACAGTGAAGCAAGGCGGGGGGGGGGGGGAGCTATACATCAGCGGTAGAGCATCTGCTTTGCAAGCTGAGGGCTCCAATTTCAATCCCTGGCATCTCTGGGTAGGGCTGGGGAGACAATACTGTGCTAGAAGGACCAGTGGTCTGACTCATTATAAGGCAGCTCCCTATGCAACATCTGGAGGGCCACAGGTTCTCCATTCATAAGATTGGCCTTTGGTCTCATCCAGCTGGGTTCTTCTTATCTTCCATCCCAAATACTGGTCATCTGACCAGTCTCAGGGCCAACCTCAGTTTTTGGGGTCCTCTTGTGCCAGATGCCCCCAGTAGGTCCAGTCCTCCTCCTTGCTGTTGCTCCCTTGCTGTGATGGCCTGGGATTCGGACTCGGATGCTGAACCTGAGGGATCCCAGCCTGCACAGGATTCCCCACCTCCAGAACCAGCTGAGCCAGGGCTGGGGCTTGAGCCTGAAGGGTCCTCACCTGTGCTGGATCCTCAGGTGCAGCTGAGTCTGCTCTGGCTCCTGAGGTGATGGAGGACCCACTGCCTGCAGGTGCTCCACTCTCAGCCCCATCAGAGGAAGCTGAGGTTGCCTCTGGGTCTGGTAACCCTCCAGCCTCTTCTGAGCTGCAGAGGCTCAGGGCAGAGAGGCGGAGGGAACTAAGTTCCCGCAGGAGGAGTGCTCGCCACCAGGCCAAGAGAGGCGAGTCACCAGAGGATCGGGGCCGCCCTATGCCTCAGGGCAGATAAAAGCCAGCCAGCCCCAGTCCCAAGTTGTGGGAGCAGCATTGTTGGTTGCTAGTTCCTGCCCGAACCCTGTCCTGCTTTCCTGCCTGACCCGCCCTGGCTCCCTGCCCTGAACCCAGCTTCAGCTACTATGGATTGCCTCCACTTTTCATCTTTGCCCATGGACTTGGACCTCGCCTCTCGGGTAACCCACGGGACCAGTACACTTGCTTTCCTTCGGCCACACAGAGGGAAAGGGGATGGGAGCTCCACCTTCTCACCCCCATGTGGTGTATGTATGGTACACTGCAAATTCCCCCTTCCCTTCTCTTTCTCTCTCATTTTTCATACTTTTAAAAGAAGACTCATCTAGCTCAGTTACATGTTTGTGCTTTTGTGTGGAAGTACCTTCAGACTTCACTGGGATTCTGTAGGTCTCGGCTTCTCCTTCGGTGAAGTCCTTCAAGTGGGAAAAGGTCTCATTCAGCCCGGTCACCTCAAACCTCAGTTTCTCAGGAGACCCATGATGTACAGAGACTTTTATCTCCAGATCTTCTCCTAAAACCACAGAGTGGGAGCTTAATATGGCCTGAAGACCAGAGATTGCTTCGACTAAATGAACCGTCAGGATTTCTGAAACGTCTGCTTCTGTGGTGTTGCTGGACGCAATTATTTCAAGATGATGTACGCCAGGACCAATCAGCCGTTGGGATGCGCCATCCAGGGTGAGATTGTGAGGAACAATTCCTTCCTTCACCCTGGACTCCATCAGCGTTTTGTTATCAGCCAGCACGGTATAGGTCACTCCACTACCTGAAAAGGAAAAATGGTTTCCAAAATGTGGTGTAAATTATATCTCGTTTCACATCCTTTTGCAAAACATTTAAAACATTTATTTTATGTACTAAATACTGTATCAGTTTATTTACCGTAATGCTATAGCAATGTGGTTTATTTACTTATTTGGCACCATCCATGTGCATGGCATTACAAAAGAATCAAATATAAAAATAATAAAACCGATTAAAAAGAAAGCAGAGGCAGATGTCAAACACAGCAGCACTGAAACAAGCAAAAAAACAATCCATCAAATTTACAGTTTTAAATGACAGAAATCAGCTACAACATGCCTTTGGGAATAAAACTGTTTTCAACACCTGTCTAAAATGGGAAGTCAATGGACCTTACCTGGTTGGAGAACCACATTTCAAAATTTGGAAAAGTGTTAATTTCAAAGAAAGACCGTGCTTTGGGACGTGTATGGTTTAAGAAAGTCTGAATTACATGGATTTGCCTTCAAATGCAAACTGAATTGAATTTCTCCCTAAGCACGAAAGGTGTTTTGTTTTTTAAAAAGGACAATTCCAGCAGAAGTCTCTCCTATGTGCTCTGAAAGTACATTGTTCAAACTACTATTGATCTGCAAAAGAATATATAAACAAAAACGAAGTGATGGCTCTGACCTCCATTAAGTTCCACCTGAATCCATAACACTTCTTCATAAAGAGTCCTGCAATGTGAAGTGTTTCCTACTTCATATTTGCTGAAGCACCCGGTCACCAAAAGCTCATCCATTTTGTCTTGCACGGTGATCAGTTTCTGAGCTGTGACGTGCCACTCGCTGGTTGTGCACTCCACAAAGATGGTGAATTCGCCAGGAGATGTGAAGCGATGGGTCACATTGCTAGACAGGCTTGAGGTGCAAAATGGAACACGTTAGAAGCAGAACAAGCCAAACCTGCAACAAAATGTTGCAGCACGAGTGCTCCTGTTTAGGATTTTAGTCAACCAACAACCACACCCTGTTCCAGGATAATCCATTCCATTCTCCAACAATGCTCATATGTGCATTTCTCAAGTTAAAATTGCATCATTTTTGCAGCATTTAAAGCATTCATTTCATTCTTTTGCTGTGGCATTGGGAAGCCTTTCTCTCTCTTCTACCTAGAAAAAGTGTGTTTCAGTCTGAGAGCCAGGGGACAACCATTGACCCTCAGTCCACTTTCAGGTGGCCTCAGCACTGCAGCCTGCCCACTCTGTCCTGCTTGTGCCTTTGGGCTGAACTGATTCCAGCACCACACCTGGCACAAGCAGAATGCAGGCCAGGGCCGTCTTACCCATAGGCACTAGGGGTGCGGGGCACCCGGGCACCAGGCTCTCAGGGGCACCAGGCCCGAGAGTCCGGGGCCCGAGAGTTGAGTCCGGGGAAGAGCCCGCCCGTCGGTTGGAGCGCCACAGCAGGCTCTTCTGCGGGCAGCTCTGCGCTGCAAGTTTGGAGGCGACCAAGCCAGTGAGACGCTGAGGCGGCTGGCCGGCTCCACCCTACTGCGCACCTGGGACTGTGCAACCTGGGGGGGGCACCAGGCGGATATTTGCACCCCAGGGCCGCATATGCTTAAGACAGCCCCGCATATGCTTAAGACAGCCCTGATGCAGGCATATGTGGGAGCCCCTTAGAGACATGAGATATAGCATGCTGTAGCACACAGAGCTAGAGGGGAATGAAAGAGAGGAAATGGATGGCAGACAAGCAGAGAAGCCTGAGAAGTGTGAGAGAAGAAAAGGGAAGCGTGGGAAGGAGGGAGGTGAATGGGTCAGGCAGACCAAGGCAGAGGAAAAGGAGAGCTGTTTGGATTTGCTACTGCACCTTCTCCCCTCCACTTCACACTCACACCCCAGTCATCCTTCTTTCCAGCCCCTTCACTTTATACCCTTCTGATGTTCCAGGGGCTGCATGCTGGTGGTGGGCATGGCCAGAAGGAAATGTGGGCGGAGCAATGGAAGGGACTCTTACTTTGTACAGGAGGCTACATTACAGCCATGCAAAAGCATGTCTCGACAAACATACAACATTCCAATTGCATCCGGGCAAAGAAGATGAGGTCTGACAGCTCAAAGACACATCCCAGTCAGAGGTAAGGTCTGGGGTGATGGGGAGAGTCTCGAGAACCAGCTGGGTAATCCTTAAGGGATTCAGTCCCCAAGCATGAGGTTCTGCTCTCCTGATTTGGGGCATCACTGACAACTTGAAAGGTGTCTTCAATCATCACCATCATCAAATAAGAAAGCAACAAAACCTTCACTTCCTCATCGCCTGACTGCAAAAACGTAGACTTACGTTGGAGGGTAGTATGGATCAATAGTGTTTCCGTCTCCGGTGCTAATGATGCAGGAGAGATTGCCAGAATAAGGAGAGAGTAGCCACTTCACTGATATGGTGATGTTTTCAAAGATAAAGCTTTCCTCCGTCACAGCCAGTCGCAAGCCTGTAAAATAGTGCACAGAATAATGGCACCTCTCTGCATCCTTGGAGAGGTCATGTGGGTGAAATTGCCTTGTACCAAATCAGGCTGCACTGGTCCATCTAGGTGCAAGCTGGTCACTGGGAGATGCTTCCCAACCTGCTGATGGTACCTGTGGGTGGAGAAAGTTCTGCTGCTTACCTTCCATGCAGTGGTATTGAACCGACAGGTAGCTTCCCAAACTTGGACAAGGATCTCCAAAGAAGGTCCCATCAGCTGCCACCTGGCATGCTTGGAGTCCATGGCACTGCCCTGCAAGGTTTGATGCAGTAGCATGTCATTTTCGCTAATATAATGATGTTCAATGTACACTTTACCACAATGTATGCATTTTATATGCATTACTTGGCCAGAGAACAGGATTGCAAAACTTGGAGAACTGTGGATTTTGAAGGTTGGCTGCGTTTCACTTAGCGCCTTGCTATGCCACATAGATTTGCCTTTAAATGCACACTGAATCAATTTTCTCCCCCATCTGTGTTCAAAACACTGAAGTCCCCCAAGCCTTACCTGCAACTTCATCCTTTACACTTATCCAGCTACATTCCTCTTCGACATCAAACTGTAGGGGAGTCTCTAGCACACAGAAGTGAGGTGTTTTCCGTCCATAAAAGCTTTCTCCAATCTGAATTACTTCTCCTGAGCCACACTGCACTGTGGCATTGAAGTTGTCGCAGGCAATGCTGTGGCCTGATTCTGTGCACACGCATACAAGAAACACCATGAGTGTGTGGCATTGTTGGCTAAAGACACAGCCCACTTAAAAGCAAGTATACGTAAGGCCATCACCATTAAAACAAACACACATAGAACCATCATCATTAAAAACAAAGATAGTTTTAAAATAGTGATCTGTGGGATTGTGGAAATTTAAACGGGTTTAAAGCTGACCATTTTAAAAAATGCGTTCAATCCTGGAGAAAAGCACGCTAGCATTATTTTTCCTCTTAACCCTTCCCTGCCCCAGATGACGAATCCCATGCCTTTACTTTTCCCAAAAAGTTGAGTGGGAATTTCATAGAGTTGAGAGCACTTCCAGAATGATCCTCTAGGTGGCATGAATAAGATTCAGAAAAGAAGCAGGAGAGAAAATTCTAGCAACCACGAGTGAGACCTGCAACAAGATGTTGCAGTGTAAAATGCAACAAACCTTTTGCAGGATGTCTCATCCCACATCCCCTGCAGCCCCTGATTTGGGTGAGGGGTTCTTCAGAAATCATTCAAGTGGCCACTGACCAAGCTTACTGAATGGGACTCCATCCTTCTTTTGTGCTTCTCCAAGCCCACGGGGTCACCTGAGCATGCTGAAATGGGCCTGATTTGGCCCATTACTGCTGACACTCCCCACTTGAGTTTATTATTGGTGGAAATGAGAGCATGGTATTGTGCACACACTGAAACTGCTAATAAACATATTTCAGGGAATAGCACTAATCAAGCGAGCTATAAATATACATTCTCAAATGCATGGGTTAGGTTGCATTACACAGGACAGCCTTCTATTTTAAGTGCCCTATGTTGCACCTATAATTATAAATAAGCATATGTGTTTTGCTGCAGATCTGTGTTCTGTGCAAATCTTATTTTTTAACTCTTTTGGGGTGATGTGTGGTACAAGTAGTTACCCTTAAGTTCAGTTCAGGACCTCTTACCAAACTCGCAAATAAAGTCAAACTCCTGGCTGCAGTTCTCTGTTATACCCCAGTCATAGCCAGTGTTTTTCAGGATATAGCCACATGACGATGAGAGAACGGAAGGCAGTTCTTGGTGCCACTTGCTGTAGGTGATATTCGAGGTATCGAGCCAAACCATGGACCCTGCATGGAAGGAAGCTGCATCGTGAGTGTACATGCCTCTCCTACTTAAACAACTGGGATGAGTGAACCTATCAATTTATGTTTCTTTCAGTTGCTCCTTTTTCCAGTCCTGAATTCAGTTTAGCACATTTCTGCACGAGTTTGCAATTTTTAAAAAATCACAAAAAATTGTCAGCATTTTAGTGCATTTTTCCTAGCGAGCAATTTTCCTCAATATAATGCATTTTTGTATGTTATCTTCACTGTTATATGCATTTTCTGAGGGGTTTTCTTTTCTTTTCAATTTTAAAATTCAACCATTAAAACCAGAAACTTACCTTAAGAAAATAAGATGAAAGTGGAAATATCCAGTATTCTGCATTTTCCATTAGTTAGATATTGATTGTGGGAGGTGGTCACATTTTTGCATATCTTATGGGTTCAGCTCATATAGGACTATGTCGCCAGGACTCAGCTGGCTAATATTTCATCAGTAGTACAGTGAAAAAAATCTTAGCATAATTTAATCCACTGACATCCAGCATGCTTGTTTATTACATTTTTACTCCACCTTTCTTCCAAGGATCTCAAGATAGCAACATAACAATCTCCTCAGCCCTTATTTTATCCTCAGAACAAACCTGTGAGGAAGGCTAGGCTGAAAGAGTGTGACTGGCTGCCCCAAGGCAACCCAACAAGCTTCATGGCTGAACAGAGATAGGAACCAGAGTCTCCACAGTCTTGGTCTGGTACACTAACCAAGGTGTAGCCAACCATGGTGCTCTCTAAATCATAAAAATCATAGAGTTGGAAGGGACCCCAAGGGTCATCTAGTCCAACCCCCTGCAGCATGGCCAATGGCCAAGGGTCATGGGAGTGTAGTCAGCAACATCTGGAGGATTCCAGATTGGCTACCCCTGTTCTAAACTCTGAACCGGGAGTGAGACACCTATGGCCCTGAATATGCTGTCAGACTCCAAATCCCATCAGTCCCAGCCAGCATGGCCAATAGTTAGGGATTATGGAAGTTATAGTCCAACAACATATTTAGGACCACAGGTTCCCCATCCCTGCACCGCACTATACTAACATGTCCCCCCTGCTCAACATTTCACAAAACAGGGATTCTATTTTTCCCTACCTTCAGTAGTTTCATTGGAGGAAGAACTGTAGGTTATGCCGATCCACCATTCGTTGTCCTCAGAGATGTGCTCCTGCAGAAACATCTGGGTTTCTTCATTTTCAATAAAGACCAGGTGGCCCCCTCCTCTCTCACACCAGCTCTGGGCACTTGTGAAAGTGCGCTGGAGCCTCACAAACTCATAGCATGAGCTATTGAAAGCCACTTGGTATTTTGAACATGGTATACCCTCCACAAGGGAGAAATCCTCTGCAGTAGAACTGACGGCAAGAGGGATGATGAGGCTTATGATGAGGAGCTTCATGTTTGATTCAGCAGCTTACCAAGTCCTGTTTTGGGACCGATGCAGCCCACCACTCTTTTTGACCTTTTCTGCAGATATTTGGGGTGTCATTCTACTCTGGCATATGCTCTTCTCGCCTCAACCTTCCCTTCCCTGGACAATACTAGCAATGGCTCTGCGGAATAGCTTGCTCCCAATAAACAAAGGTTATTGCACAGGGGGAAACGTTTTTTTCTTAATGCCAAGATGTGCCAATGGATATGAGACAGGCCATTGTACAATTGTTCAAATAAATACGGTATACACAGTGGGCTTTAATTTATAGCCTTTCATGTGAGTAGAGAAGATTACTTTGATATATACACCCACTGGACATATGGCAACCAAAGATAAAGGACCCTGTAAAAGAAGCTATTGTACCTTAGCAGCTGGGCATTCAACCTCAAAATAACCATTTAGAAACTCAGAAAGCTGGTGCACCATAATAATCAGACAGAAATTCTGTCTCTGCAATGAAACATTGGAGTTGTGTTTTTCCATTCAGTATGTGAACCAGGGCATGCACTAGAGAAGGGTGCATCCATCCATGTTGGTTTCCTGTTTTTTTTTCTCTCAATTAATATCAGTTTTCCACATTTCCACATTGGTTTACAATTTTATTTATTTTGAAGACCTCATGAAAATTCATCAGCATTTCAGTGCGAATTTCTCATGAAATACACATTTTTATATGCAATTTTGCCTAATATTTTCCGTGATATTTTCACTATCAATGCTTATGCACACTTCACCCCAGTATATGCATTTTTGTTTTATTTTATAATATTTTTATTGGTTTTTACACATATTTTCCATATGTGTCATTCTTTTAAACATCATTTCAAAATCTTTGGCTATCACAGCCTAAGATTTCCCAGAAGTCCTTAACTTTCTTACATTCCCACCATATATGGTAAAAAGTACCCTACTTTTCTTTACACAGTATATGCAGTTTTGTACATATTACCTGGGTGAAGACCTGCACAGAAAAATTAAGAGAAGTGTGGATTTTGAGAGACGGCTGCAATAAGCTTATTCTGCAGGCTTTGCTTGATGGACTGGGGGAAAGACAATTTTTCCCCCTGATCCCAGTTATAAATGTGGTAGAGATGTATTGGCCAGTGCCCATGAAATTACCAGCACCAGTGAGGAACTAGACAGTCCATCAAACGCATAAGGAGAGGGATAAAATTCAGTTGTCAACCCAACATTCAACTTGTGTATGTGTGGGTTTTTTGTTTTTTTATATATAAAAAAACTTTGCTTTTGATTACCAATAAGATTATTTTCAAAAGATGGACTCACACTGAGACAGGAAATGTATCATGCTATATGGCTTTCAGCCTCTGACATACTGGTACTGGCAAGTACTGGTATTTACAATAAATACTCTGACCTTGCCTTGATAACTAGCCTAGTGGTTGTTATGCTTTTTACCAGACCTGTCATCCTAACAGAACATGCTTCTGTGATGCTAAGCTCTCATAATGTCTTTATAGCTGTGATGCTCCTAACCAGTTTCGCAGCTGGCAACTTAGGTGGGACTGCTAAATGCTTGATCAGCCTTCTGTGATTATCATAATGCAATGTCTGCTGAGGGATGGAATCAAGGCCTGCTGCACAGACACCCCAGAGTCTAACTCTGCAGAAGCCTAAATCTACCCTAATTGAGCTTGCATGGGTACATCTAGCATGGGTCATGCTTCCCTTCATTTCTCTAGCTTTCCAAAATTTAGAATATACGATCACTGGAGCACCAAAAATTAGGGAAGAGGCAGGATGGTGGCCATTAGTCAGCGCTGCCATTTTTTTGGTGGCAAATCTTATTTTCTTCTCAGAATATCCTGGAATGACAAAATGTCCAAGATATTCTGGAAAAATAAAATGATGGCTCCTGGGAGTCAGCAACTAAAAGAAGCTTTCCATACCCAAAGGATTCATAACTGAGATCCTTTTTTTCATATTACATATGTCTATCCTTTCAAGAAATCACCCCCTTTGATATGCAACTGTGTGAGTTGACTCTTACACAGAACAAGTATTTTTTCAGGACGTAACACCTGCTGATCTGAAATCATTTACTCCAAATAGTCCCAAAGAAATTGTCCCAGGATGGTGCCTCATTCCCCACAAGTTCTTATTATACTTTACAGCCTCTTGGCTCATGGTATAGACTGCCCTCAATGGAAGGACTGTCTCACGCCACCCCATTCCAGCCAGCTCAAAAGGGCATAAGAGGACAAAGGGACCTTAAGGTAAAGCATTATATTGTAAGTCACATCACAGTACACAGGCATGCATTGTTTAGCTGGTGGACTCCTGGTATGTTTTTCATTATGTTCCCTTAGCCAGAAGGGGCCATAGCTCAGTGGCAGAACACACGCTTTGCATACATAAATGTTTTGTGTCAGCTCCTGGTGTATCATGTAGGTTGTGAAAAACACAAAGGAGAAATACTCCTGGTCTGAGATGTCAAGACGTCCTGGACAGACTCCATTTAAGGCAGCTCCATATGTTCCATATGTTCCTGGAGGCAGGCAAATGTTGTCTCCATCTTCAAAAGGTGGGGAAAGAAGAGCCAGGCAAATGTTGTCTCCATCTTCAAAAGGTGGGGAAAGAAGACCCAGGTAACTACCAACTGGCCAGCTTGACGCTGATACCAGAAAAGGTCCTAGAACAGATAATTAAACAATTGGTTTGTGAGCACTTAGAAAAGGATGCTGTGATTACTAAGACCCAGAATGGGTTTCTCAAAAACAAGTTGTGGCAGACAAATCTCATTTCTTTGACAGAGTTACTAGCTTGATGGATCAGGGGAATGCTGTAGGCATAGTGTATCTTGATTTCAGTATGGCTTTTGACAAAATCCCTTATGATAGTATTGCTGAGAAGCTGGTAAAATGTGGGCTGGGCAAGGTAACTGTTAGGTGGATTTGTAGCTGTTTGACTGGCCGAACCCAAAGAGTGCTCATTAATGGATGCTCATAATCCTGGAAAAAGTGGCAAGTGGGATGCCACAGGGTTCTGTCCTGGGCTTGTTGTTATTCAACATCTTTATAAATGACTTGGGTGAAGGAATTGAGGGGATGTTAATCAATCTGACACCAAACTGGGAGGGGTAGCTAATGCTGCAGAAGACAGAATCAGGATTCAAGATGACCTTAACAAATTGGAGAACTGGGCCAAAACTAACAAAATGAATTTCAGTAGGGACAAATGTAAGGTTTTACATTTAGGCAGGAATAACCAGCTGCATTAAATATAAGATGGTAGACACCTGGCTTGCCACTAGGACATGCGAAAAGGATCTGTGGTCTTCGTAGACCACAAGGTTAACAGCAGCTAATTCTATTCTAGGCTGCATCAACAAATGTATAGTATCCAGGACAAAGGGAAGTCATAGTTCTGCTCTATTCTGCCTTGGTCAGAACCCACATGTAGTACTATGTCTAGTTCTGCTCTCCACAGTTTAAGAAGGACATTAACAAGCTGGAACATGTGCAGAAGAGGGTGACCAAGATGATCAACAGTCTGAAAACAAACCCTTATGGGGGAGTTGGGTATGTTTAGCTTGGTAAAGGGAGTTGGGTATGTTTAGCTTGGTAAAGAGGAGACTGAGAGGAAATATGATAGATATCTAAAGGGCTGTCACATAGAGGATTGAGCAAGCTTGTTTTCTCCTGCTCTGGAGGATAGGACCTGAACCAATGGATACAAGTTACAAGGAAGGAGATGCCAATGAAACATCAGAAAGTACTTTCTGGTGGTAAGATCTGTTTGACAGTAGAATGGACTCCCTTGGAAGGTGGTGGACACTCCTTCATTGGAGGTTTTTAAACAGAGGTTGGATGGCCATCTGTCATGGATGCTTTAGTTGAGATTACTGCATTGCAGGTGTTTGGGCTAGATGACCTTCAGGGTTACTTCCAACTCTACAATTTTATGATTCTGTTATTCTACTAACTATTAGCCACTCCATCCCTGAACGTTGGGCATGTTGGCAGAGGCCGATGAGAGTTGTTGCTCTTGTTTTTCTTGTAGGAGAACAGTCATAGCTCAGTGGTTGAGCTCAGTGGTTGAGCCTTGCAGGTAAAACTCCCCTGCAGTGCTAGTGTTGACAGTTCAGAGCTAGAAAACCCAACTTGATATAAGGCAGCTTCCTATATCCCTCTATGCAAAAGTGGGCAATATTTGTGGTTCCCCATGCCCCCAGATGATGTTTAGATACAACTCCCACCATCCTTTACCATTGGGCATGTTGACTTGGGCTGATGGGAGTTGAAGCTGAACAATAGAAGGAATGCACCACTTTGGCTATTCCTGCTGGAGGGGAAGGACTGTGACTCAGTGAGAGAGCACCTGCTTTACAAAGAAAAGGTCCCAGGTTCACTCTCCAGCATCTCCAGACAGGGCTGGAAATGTCCTGTCTGAAACCCTAAGAACCACTGTTATTCATTGTAGACAATAGTGAGCTAAATGATCCAATGGACTGACTCACTATAAGGCAGCTTTCCATGTTAGCTAACCAAAAGGAAACTAGGTTAATCCATCTGCCTAAGGAGAGGATCAGAAAAGGTACAGATAGCCAAGGAGACTGATAGTAGCAGTTTTCATTTTTGCACGTTCCCATTCACCCAAATGTCCTCCTTGCCCTCCACTTCCAAGGCACCGTGCTGAAACGTGTCCCCTTTTTCTGGCAAAGAGATTTTCTTGATTCCTCAAAGCTCATTTCACAATATACATTCTTCTGTATTGTATAAGCTGAGTCAGCTGCTCCAGCTAGTGCTGTCACAAGGTTATTGAGGTGTTTATCTTAATTGGTAAGATGTAATAAACCTTCCCTTGATAAGCTATCTTGATTGGGTACAAAAACCAACACATTCTCAGTACACGCACCCAAAGTTAGCAACGGTAGGTTAGGCTGGGAGACTGTGACTGACCTGAGCCCACCTAGTGAACTTCGTGGCTGAGTGGTTTTCCAG